CAGGGAAGACGAGGAAGAAGATGAGTACCTACAACACATTATGAACGAAATTGAAATGCAGGATATCAAGAACATTGTACAGTTTGTGTGAAATCATTTTGTAACCTTCTGTGATATGTTTATTTAATTACATACACACTTTTTAAAACTTTGACTCATCTTAGACAAATCTACGATATTTTTAGCTTGCCTGAGCCAAAACTTTTCCGATCAGTGTGTCATCTGTCATGTATGTAATATTCACTTTTCATTTTGTAAGTAAATGTAGAAATTCAAAATTTTCAATTTTTTTGTGCCAAAGTTATATTGGATCTGGTAAGGACCTGCTCAACATATAGTTCATTTTCTAAATCAATCCTCATATATAATCTCCTTTTAGAGTAATATTTTACATATAAATTTTCTTGTTTAATCTTTTTGAATCTTTTCTGGTATGGTAATAAGCTGCACTATATGTAGACATTTTTTTTTATCATGTTTGATCTTTGGTGTGAAACTTAAGAATGATCAGGTTAAATTACTAAACCACTCTCTTAAAATAGAGAGTATGTATATGCATGATGCCATAATGTGTCTCTCAAACTTCAATTCATTTCTTATTATTTTGATTAAATAAAAAAAACTGCTTTTGGTATTTGCAAAACCAGATTTGTTCTATTATTTTAAAACAAACACTTTTGGGCCACCTTTAAATCAATGTTTGTTTGCCTTATCCCGATACAAGGCAAAAAATTGGATCGGTAGGTAGGTGGGAAAACTTTTTTTTCTAGAAAATTTCAACATACATATTGACAAGATGCGAAAATTCAGGAATAAAATGAAAAATATATCGTTTCCTTCAGATTAAAAAAAGTATATAGAGTCGGGCCATTTTTAGCGAGTCGGTCAGGAGAGGGCAAACAAACATTTTTTTTTAAAGATGGTCTTGACAAGGATATTTGTGGCTGACGGTCGGTTTGGTAGTACCCTGGATGTTATCTCTCCAAACATGTGCAGCACAAGCAAATACACACATGCACAAGAGAAAACTCAACCATGCCCCCCCCCCCTTCAATACAAACGGAAGTTTCACTCATCAAGTTTAGCTCTAGCTGGAATCTTAGTATTCATAACATGGCTTGACAATTTTTTACATTACAATCGACATGATTCGTCTGTTCAATCCCTTTTACTGGTGAATCCATATGTATCAACTCTTAAGAAGATACCAAAATACTTTCCTAAGACTCATTAATCGCAATTGTATGACAAACAATGAATAATCTTTTACAACCATATACAAATAGTCGAATACATGCCAAAATAAAACTATTTTCTTTGTTGCTATGGGTAATTTTCTGTTGCTATGGCGATAAGTATTTGTACAATGTTTCTTGGTTTGTACAGAAGTCTCAGATAAATTTTCTTATTGCAAAATTAGTTTTTTAGTATTCATCGGTAACATTTTATTTGATTTATATATCCCCCAATTTACAATTACTCTTTCTTCTTCATCAAAACACCCATTTTTGTTGCTAGGCAACAGATGGGAAATATCAAAAAACACACCTTTTTGAATTTAAATTCCAAAAGTGACGTTCCTCTGCCTTTATGTAAAATATACGAAACTTATGTATTGTGTCAGAAGTTTGAAAAATATGGGCTTGAATAGTGCTGAAATTTACAAAAATGCTAAATCAGCAAAAAATGCAAAACATGCATATCTTACACTGCCTATGACGGAGATATCTTAAAATCTAATTTCTACGTTTTGCACTGTTAAACACTTTAAATGTTTATCTTTATGATAACATTCATTAAAAAGAATTCTTGTAATATTCACATTCAATTTCAAGCCTTAAATATAAGTGATTTTTTGGTCCATAAACATGGAAAATTGGCTGGTTTCTAGGGAAATTTCTTCAGGTTTCCATAGTAACCATAATCCAATTTGATTTTAATTTTACATACATAGTTCAAAGTGCGAAAGAAATCTATATATGGAAAATCATCCAATTCTGATAACCCTCATGATTCACTTTTGTACCCATTTTGTCTGATTTTTAGAGAGACCTGTACTTAAATTTCGAAACAATTTTTTTCCATACCTTCTGAATAGGAGAATGTGAATTTAATTTCGAAACAAGTTTTTGCCATGATTTTCGTTTACTATAGTTTATAGTCTTTCAAACTTTTGCTCAAAATATTCAAACATTATTAAGGTTTATTGAAGATGGTGACATTATCACCGAGTCAATTATCAAAAGCTTCTGCCAATAAGGAAGAAGAGCATTTCTATTAATAATGTTAGTCACTCTGTTTTGATAATTATATTATACTTTTCACTTCGCAGCTAGGTTAAGGACTCCCATATATACGTCAGTCTATGCCGAGGTTCGGGAAAGCTATTATGACGTCACGTTAAAGCAATGCAAATGAATCTCGATAAATAAATACTATATGTTCTTTTTAAAACAATCTAAATACTTTCGTTTCTCACAAATATTATAAAAATAATTGAGTGTGCAACTTATCTTGCCATAATAGCACTTAGCGTTTGTAGAATGAAAGCCAGCTTGATCTCGCTGTACTTACTGAGATGACGTCATTTCTTAGTTTGACACGCAGTTTCTCTGTACTTGAGGCGTGGATCAAGCTTTTATCATAGCTTGTAAAAATAAAATTAATGACGAAACACGCGTAGTCCGACCAAAATAGAGACGTGTTCTGAAATATATTAATCTACATTATATTGTCAAACTAAATTGATCATGTGTAGACATAATATATAAGCCGTAGGGAGCACATCTGTACAGTAACGTGCTAGAATGACAGGTCCAGTCCTTCGAAAATGTCAAAAAGTTCAACGATATCCGCTTCACTATCAATTCTGAATTTTTAAACACGTGTAGCTATTATTCCTACTATTCTGAAAAGTGCTGGGAGCTGGTTGTGCATTGTTTATTTATTTCGTAATGTAACATTATTCTAATGTGTATTATATCTATGTCTGGAGTTTACAGAAAGACGGCAAAATTTTACAAATTTCCCGAGCACGAGGAAGTTGCTCCCAGCACTTTTCATGTTAAGGAATTTGTCTCAAAGAAAACAAAATAAATTTTACAGCGGAAAGAGGCCCGTATATCGTTGAACTTTTACGATCTTTGTAGTAGTACATATATGTTCTAATTGTAAACCTGTCACGTGACAAACAGCTGATGTAAGCGAAGTCGCATTGGCCGAACTCAGCAGAGACCCGATATATACAAGTGCACACACCACGATTCACATTCATCAAAACTAATGCTGTTATAAAAAATATTAAAATTGTATTCATTTTCCCTGAATATATTAAGGCGTATATTTCATGGGCGTCCTTAACCTAGCTGCGTTGTCACTTTCCTAAATTCAGAGAGGAATCGGAAATTATTTAAAACAAAATTATTTATGATGATTTCTTCCGTGTTTCTTATTTTATTGCAACAATTTCATAAACGATGATGTCGTTGTATTTCTATCTTCTAATTGTTGCGGTTACTAAAGGTAAGTCTTTCAAAGCCAAATAATATTCTTTTTTAATGCTATGCCATTTTTCATGCTTATTAAATTAACTAGAGTTCGTCAACACTAGAGAAGCCTAGGCAGAAAAATTAATTTTAGTTTCATGTTAATTTTGATTTTAAAAAATACTTAATAGAATAGTCATTTTTCTTTCTTTCCATTTTTTTTTTAAATCTGAAATTACTGTAACATAAGCCTAACAATACAACTAAAATTGATTCAACTTCTAAAGCATTAAAAAATTCTTAGCTGAGAAATATTGGAATTCTACGAATAAATTTTGTCTGAGAATTATTTTTGGTTATGTTCACGAGGCCTGGTGACTGAGGTCTGCTGATGCTGGGTTTTATGCAGCTGATATGACCGCATTTCTTTGTAATTGTACAGCTGTAACTGTTTTCATATTTTTAAGTCTCAAATCCGGCTGATGAGACGTTGAATAGTGGTCCGTGTGAAGGATTACAACCCCTTGAAACGTAAAAAATCGTTTCCTTCGTTTTCTAAAAAAAGATAGACACACTGGGGCCGCTCGATAAACCCAAAAACTTTTCAAAACAGAAAATAGATTTTATCGCGTAAAAGTGTCTGAAAATTGTCGATTCGGCATTAATGTTCACAATTCATCAATTAATCCATCACATTTGAGCTCCACTTGCCATGATAAAGGCTAATATTTGGTTAAGCTGATCATATAGTACAAATGCATATGACATCTAAACCTTGTCTTTATACATAGACATCTAGCAGAAAAAAATGCATGATTACAGATAGCAAGTAACCAATACCAGTACTTGTGAAAATCATGACTCCTGGGTTCAGGGTCCTGGGTTGGGCTATGTTAGTCTCATATTGAAAATGCTACAAAAATCTTCTCTTCTCATGGACATCTAATTCTTTTTAATGAAAAGAAAACATTACGATATTTATGCAATTTGTCTCAAAGATAATGGTTTGACTTAATCATAAATACACATTAGATGGAATTGTTGCAGACCAGTTTGACTTAAAGTGGTTTGCTGTTTATGAAATATTTTTTCATGATTTTTTCTAAACTTTGATGACAAATTCCGATTCAATATTGTTGTTCTCTGAAACATGGACTGAACAAACTAGATTGCGAGGATTTTGAAAATTTTGTTTTTGCAGATTTGAAATAGTTGTTCCATTCTAGTTTTTAGGTATTGATTTGAACAATTTAAAATCTGAAGTACTTGGCGATTTTTCATGTTCATTAAAATGTTTCATATACTTTACATTTACAGTACATTAATTAACAATTTGGAAAAAAAAAATATGAACAGTCAACAGACAAGTCGGACAAATGTTGTACAGAAAAGCTCACCAAATCTTTTTATTCAGGTGAAATGAAAATTCAACAAGATGTAATCAAAAATGATCATAGTTATTTATGTAAAAATACATTGAGAATCATATCATAAAATATTTTCACATGTCCCACTTTCAGATTCCTATGATCAGCAAAGAACAACTAGATTTTAGTGGATAAAGAACTTGCATATTTACAGGAAAATATAAATTGATGTTAAAAAAATACAAAACTCCAAGCTTTTGTAAACAATATAGCATTTGCTATGCCAGTCTATTTTTTTTTTTTTCGTAAATCTATGCAAGTAAACTATTACTACTGTGGCCTCTGAGGAGGCCGCTTGCGATGTTTAAACAAACAAATGAAAATTATTAGTAATATAAACGGCAAAAAATTAGAAACAAACAGAAAAAATAAAAAGAAGAAATCTGTATCTAGTTCGGGGGCTTCTGATTCTTCTTCATCATCTCCTGATTTCCCTGGAGTGCCAATAATTGATCTGTGGTATTGTGGGTAACGTTTTGTCAATTCTTCCATTAGTATGGTCGATTCGAGTTCGACATATGTGGTTGAAGAAGGAGTACCATCGTCTATTGCAGAATGTGTAGTATGACTACAATCTATGCCCGAAGAAGATGAAGACAATTAGAAAATATTTTATCTTTAATATTTTTACACTATTTATTCCTTTTGAAATATTTCTGTGAAAGTGACAGATAAGCAGTGTTGGCAGTGGGAAAAAAATTACAATTGTGAATTAAATCGAGATATTGTGTTCAGAGAAAATATCTTATACTTACATTCATTTTCTGTCCAATTGAATTTATCATTTAAAGCATTACAATACAAACACTTGTTCATCATACTTTTTTCCATCGGATTTACGCACGTGCCATCGATGTAGCAAAAGGCAGACTGCAGTTTAAAAAAAAAAACATGAAATATATTATGCCAAAACTGTAAATATTGTAAATTTTAAGCAAACATAAGTTTGATTTCATGATATTGAAAAATTATTTTTATTCCAAAAAAATTATTTCTCCACTAAATATATTTTTTGGCTTTAAATGTTCATTTTATGCTAACAAATTGCTTGCTACATGTATGAGGCAGGAAAGGTTTTCAACAACTAGTAACAACAAAAGGTCCAAGGGCTTTAGCGATCACGTGAGTATAATAAAACCCTGAAAATGATCACTGAGGTATATAATAAAACATAATAATCAGTTAGATAAAAATAGGTTGCCCAATCACAAGCGAAATATGTTAATCAGAGATCAACAAAATAGTAGTACTCAGCGACAACTCAAGTAGATCTAACAGAAACAAGCATTCTGGGAGTATTGCATTAGCAATACTAGTCCCCTACCGGCAAGTGTAATCTGGTTCCCGCTAAAAATTGAAAATGCCATAAATCCGTCAAAAATCAATGAAGTGGAATGAAATGCAAACTTGATCTATAATTCATCAAGGTAAGGTCACATAACAAAAATCAGCTCAATATCTGTAAGCCTTTAGAAAAAAATTGAGGAAAACCCTGAAAAATTGACAACGTGGTAATTCCGCCAAAAATCATTGAAGCGGAACGAAATGCAAAATTTATCTGTAAGTCATCAAGATACACTCACATACCAAAAATCAGCTCAATATCTGCAAGTGTTTAGAAAAAAAATGCGGAAAACCAAGTGGGACAGACTGACAGACAGACAGAGGGACAGACGGCCAGACAGACATACGTATTGGAACATTCAATGTTTACCCATCTATCTCCACCTAACAGAGAACATCCACCTAAATGTTTGTTTGTTTGTTTGTTGGTATGTTGTTTAACGTCCCTCTCGAGAATCTTTCACTCATATGGAGACGCCACCACTTGCCGGTGGAGAGCTGCAAATTTTTCCTATACTCGGCACTTAAGGCCATTGAGCAGTGGGGGATCTTTTTCATGTAACAGGTATATTCTTCGTGACAAGACCTTTCCCTTGAGTACCATTTATTCTAACTTGGAGTTTGACCTACTTTTGAAAAGTTTAACCTTGGTCATGTTCTGAAAAGTTGGTGCTATGACTTTCATATTTCATATGTGTATTCCTAACGACAAAACCTTCCCTTTTAACCTTTAACTTTTGACCTTGGAGTTTTGACCTACTTTTTAAAACTTTAACTAGTCTTGCCATAACTTTTGAATGGTTGGTGCTACGCTTTCATATATTCACGTTTGTATTCTTTGTGACAGGATCTTTCCTTGGGCACCATTTAATTTGACCCTTTGACCTTGGCCTTGGAGTTTTACCTATCTTGGAAAAAAAACTTTAACTTTGGTCATAGTTTAGGACTTTCATATTTCGCAGGTGTATTTCTTGTAACAAGACCTTACTTTGGGTACAAAGATTTTTTGACTTATGACCTTTGACTTGCATTTAAGAAACTTGAGCATTCGCCATGAGTTGTGATACGGGGGCGTTAATGTTTCACAAGCACATCTTTTTTTTTATAATAATGATAACCATAATTAATAATGTGCAAACCATGCATGATCTTTTTTTTTTAAATATTAGTTCTTGTAAAATTTTACTGTACTTCCAAGAAACCGATTTTTACAGTAAGATTTAAATGTGATTTTTTAAATTATTATTTGCTTGTAATTGTAAATCTAACCCATTGTTATATTTTTAAACTTCAAGTCCCTCGAATGGGACGTTAAATTGTACCTCGTGTTAAGGATTACAATCCCTTGGCACTTGAAAAATTTTTCGAACAAAAGAAGGGATCACTTGGGGCCGCCAGAGAAACCACAAACACTTTCAAAACTCGCCAAAGAACGTAAATGTTTATCGGCGAAATATGGCTGAGAAATTGCCGACTCAGCGTTTAACAATAAAAACCAGTCAAACAACAGAGCCCCGCCCAAATACCAGACCCAAAGAATGAATTTCAAAATTTTGGAAAATGCATATGAACTGTTTAATACATAAAGTAGAGAAGAATTGTTTCAAGGAATTGTTTTCATATATGTAATAAATAGGGCCCAACATTAACAAAAGGATCAGGGGCAATGAATTTCACATCTTGGAGGAGGCACCCTTGCTTATGATGAACATGCACTTAGTTCGTTATTAATAAAAGGTACATAAGAAACTATTGAAAGAATTTATTTATTTTCACTATAAGACCAATAGAGCCACACCATAACTCCAGACCACACCATAACTCTAGAACCCCCTGACCTTTGGGCCAAGAATTTCTAAATTGGTAGAAAACTTACTGCTTATTACAGTCATGCCAACAGTTTGACTGCTTGATGTCCAGATTTCCACCGATTTCAGTGAAAGTGGGGGGGGGGGGGTATTAATGAGGGTTTGTCCTACTGTCTGTCTGTCGTTTACGGACAATATCCCAAAAAAGCCTTTGAGCTCCCTTTGGCCTAAAGAAGACTCTATTGATCTTGTGATCAAATGTCAAGGTCTTATACGTTCTCTCTGTGTGTAACACTTTATTTTCCGGACGATATCTCAAAAACCGTTGTGCTTTTGCAATGAAATTTTACGTCTTTACTTCCTATGGCTTAAAGAAGACCCCTATCGATATTTAGGTCAAACGTTAGGGCCATAATTTCATTCATTTTCGCTTTGTGTAACACTTTTATTTCCAGATGATATCTTAAAAATCCCTTGAGATTTTGCGATGAAATTTTATATTACAAGTCCATATGGCCTGATGAAGACCTCTATTGATATTAAAGTGAAAGATCAACATCGGAAATCAGTCCAATGCAAATAATATTTTTCAGATGAAAACTTTAGTTTTCTTTGAGCTCTTTTACAACAAAATTTTTAAAATCACAACTATGTTTGACGAAAGGAAGACTTTTTTGATTTTGAGGTCAAAAAGTTAAATAGCAAGGTCATTAATTCATACATTCTTTGTATATCAATTCATTTCCAGGTGATATTAAAAAGCCTTTGAAATTTTGCAATGAAATTTCAAAACTTGTTATGGCTTTAAAAATACCCATATTGATTTTGTGGGCAAAGGTCATGGTCAGAAATTCATTCATTGCAAATAACAATTTCCAGACATAGCCTTAAAAACACAATTGATTTTGAATTCAAGGTCAGAAATTCATACAATGCAAAACCGGTTTCCAGGTAATTCATATAACTTATGTTTTTCTGGAGCTTTTTAATGATATCTTATACATCATACGTTATAACTCAAACAGGACCCTTTTCACTCTAAGGTCAAGAAATTAAGGTGACATACTAACATCTTTCATTAAAAAGGTTTCCAGTTGATAGCTTTAGCTCTCTTTGTGGCTTTGTAATATTTTATACCTATAGTCAGTATGACAGACAAAAAGATTCCTATTGATTTTAAGGTCAAAAAAGGTAAAACTTATATATATTGATTACATAGTTTTCAGATGATAACTTTGTTCTTCGAAAACTTTTGAAGTGAAACCCATGGAATTTCTTTAACCTAAAAAGGACCCCTTTTGATTATAAGGCCAAAAGCTGAATGGTCAAGGTTAGCCTTGTTTTTATTTCTGCATCATATTTTTTTCCCGTTTTCCATCTTCCTTTTTCCTAAGAGAGGTAAACAAATTCTCCGAATTAGCTTGTTCAATATTGAATTGATTTCTGATGGTTTTAGCCACACCTATCATGCTCCATGAAATTCAATTTCCCTTTTATCCATAAATATGAAAATTGGTTAATGATTTAGCAGTTTATGATGAGAAGCTGAAAATGTTTAAAAGTTACAAAGGACGACCGATAGTTTAGTGACTTAGGTGACCTAAAAAAGAACAAATCCTTTAATTTAATACTAACCTTTAAAGTGAAAAAAACATTTCCAGAATCATTATGATATTCTTGACATGTTGACTGGTAGATAAATATCTGATATGTGTCTGTAAAACGCAATTTATCATTTGATATCTTGAAATTAATTTCAGTAGTCCAAATGCCAGTTGTATTAAAAGGGATGGGACAATATCCCTCAAATAAAGTTCTTTCTTTTAAGGTATTTTTTGTCGATTCTCTTCTCAATGTGGATTGGTTTACATCAACCTGATAAGAAAGACACGATATGAAACATTGTAAGATCTATATGATTTGATAGTTCGATGTTAGAACTGAGGGGGAAAAGAGAACCTAAAGCATACCTGATGCACATTTATGTAACAAATCGAGTCCATGTTTTCAAAGAAATATTTTCCCAAGATGGTGGCCTCTTTACAGGTTGTAGTAGATAGATCACACAGACCAGCACTGGGAACACTTGTTATTGTGGGAGGTCCGAGGAAATCAAAGGAGCAGTCGCTCCCCCCAAAGCCAGCGTCACATGTACAGTTTCCTGTAACAAAAAAAGTATATGAAGTTTATTTGTTCAAACTCGATACTCTGTTTCACGGTAAGATAACATATCAAATTCATGTTATCAATAAAGTTTCCTGCGTAACCGGTTTTGATAACTCATTTGCGTAGTCTGATGAAACGACTCAAAGCTGTGCTATGTTTGCTGAACTCTTCAACGGTCACTATTTACATACTCATCAGAATCACACCGCTTAATAAAATACACAGAATGTTCGGTATTTCATAGAATTAAATTTTTAGAATATTTTCTGTTGATTGATGGACCGTATGTTTTCATCTTCCCATTCGAGAATATTTCAATCATATAAAGACGTCACCGGTGAAGGGCTTCAAATTTAAACCCATACTCGGCATTCAGGGCCATTGGGCAGTGAGGGTTCTTTTTCGTGCCAACGCCTACCTCGATTTTTAAGGTCTCATCCGAAACAACCGTGACTTTCACTTCTAGTGCCGGGCGCTTAAGCAAAGATAGTCACTACCTTTGTTTACGTCTTAGGTTTGACGCAGCGCGGTGACCGAGAATCGAACCCGGGCCTCCTGATCATGAAGCGAGCGCCCTACCTATTTTCTGTTGTAAAACATTTATCTTATTTACTATAGATTCTCAGTATTTAGTAGAGAAACGATTATTTCTCCTTAAAGAGTATTTCTACTAATAATCTATCAACGCATTGATATATATATATATATATATATATATATATATATATATATATATATATATATATATATATATATATATATATAAAATTTAATATGGTAAAGGAAGATTGGGATTGACCTGGAGCATCTAACATCTTCAAACCCTGGAAAATTAAATCATACATCACCTCCCTCACAAGTACCGTGACTGCTACAGTTGCTAGGACACAAGTTTTGGATTGAGTAGGTAATATCAGGTTCTGACTCCTGGAAAGTTTCATTTAAAAAAACGAACATGGAACACTGTTGCAAAGCTGCTTCAACGTGCATCTGTATCAAACTCTCATCTCCAGTCATCTACAAAAAATAATAATAAGAGGCTCATATCACTTTTTCTGCGTTTTTCTGCTTTTTCACCCCAGACTGTGGCTCCTGCATAGCCGAAAGGAGGCCAGGACTAAACCAGACCTGAATACACAATATTTTGGGATTCTGAATATCAATATCACTAACATGGTCCTGCTATTCTGAAGAATAAATATAAGTTTTCCCCTATATAAACGTATTACATAAAATTTGATCCGAGTTTAGCCTCACTTCAGCCACAGTATTTTTAACTTAAACAAACCTGAAGCATCACGACTTGGGAATATTTGCATTTCGATGATTAAGTGTCATCACCATGTATACCCAAACATGCGGGGCATGCACTCTGCTTTGAAAGAGGTATCAAAGCTTAAGATGATTGATGTACTTTTTGTCCAATTCTCAATTAAGGTAAGGTTAGCGATCACAGGAAGATAACTCTTATGAATCAGTTAAGCGTTTGAAAAACGGCAAAATTTAAACCAGCTATACTAAGCATTCAATCGCTAATGAATTTCGTCTGTCAAACACCATGAACATGATGATGGGAACAAACAAATGACATTTCCAGTAGAAAATCGTAAAGCAATTTAAAGTGCTGGAATCTCAAAGGAATTTAGCGGACGTATGTAAAACGTTAAAAGTGATGCACGATTGATGACACAATAAAAGAGGACTAGTAAGTTTATTTTCAATATGGATCTGCGCAAGTTGCACGGTTATTCAAGACAGCAGGGGCAAAAAATCAGATGTATTGTAAATCATGCACTTCATCACTTCACTTAATCATGTTAAATGACAATACGAACGAAAGAAAGAATATATGTGGGAGCATCCTGTTACACTCTGCATGGTCTATGCAGTATGCACTCCGAACAGGGAAGAGAAGTCATGGAGCATTTGACAGTTTGATATATTTGCACCAGACAGGTAATTATTTAAGTGTTAATTTTCAGTATTTGTAGTTCATAATCACGTATCGTATCTACGAATTACGGAAAGTTGTCAATGACCTTAACGGACATATACAGTATTTAATGAACAGATAAGGGTGCATGTTAATCCGAGATTCCTCTGACTCTAACCCCTCTTTTATCTGCTCATATTCTGATATGATGACATATGCAGGCGATTCTCGGATTAGGTACATGTGACTAAAACCCGCAATGCAGAAAAAGTTGTCACCCATTTTTGTTTAAATCTCTCTCGTTCTCTCCCTCTCGTTTTTTATTACAATCCGGAAAGCATTTTCATCATTTTTTAAATGAAATAGTTTGAATTAATGATTGACATTTATTCAGATCTAGTGTTATTTCTCACTGCGAGCCCAAATCCAATTGAAAAAAGGCTAAAAGGAGGGAGATTTAAAGTCATAAAGTCTTGGACTCAGTTTTAAGACATTTTCAAAACTTCTCCTATTTACTTATATGCACTGGCAATATGGGTAAATTTTGGTTCTCTCAAAATAAATAGATGTACATGTTTAGTTGGTACATGTAAATGTAAGTATTTTATTTTATTATCTTATTTTTTTCAAGTAACCTTTGATGGGGGCTTATAGAGACAGCTGGCTCAGGTTGGAATTATGACATAATACAGGTGAGCTTTTTTAAAGTACAGTTTGTATTCATTTAAGAAATAAGATATCATTTTTAGAGTTTTACTGGGATATGACTTGAAGTCGGTCAGCTAATCAAATCAGATTTGATCACGTACCGACTTCATGTCATATCCCAATGAATCTCTAAAAGAATGATATTTTGTTTCTTATATTTATATTTTACTTTTATTCGTGTTACAAGGAAAAATAGACACTATTTAGACTTTTTTTATGGAAAATGTAACATGTGACATCATAGTCGAAACTTTCCAAATGGTTCGTGCAGTTTGCTTTCCATACACAAGAAATTCTGATCATATGACCAACTGCATGTCATTGAAAATTGAATGTCAATTTAATTGGTATTGTCATATAAGAAAAGACATCAGCAAATTTAAAATATTTTTTTCTCATTAAGTGATACATTAGTGTAATGTGGATCAGGCCCATAGTGGGAGGTGGGCACTACCAATAATTTAAAATAAATTCCTTGACAAGCAAAAAAAGGTCATCAGACGATATTTTGAGGGGCACAAGCATATAGTTGCTACGTTTTCTATAGTATTCTATATATCGGCAAAATTATTGGGGGGGGGGGGGACTTCCCCCTCCTACGGCCAAGATGTGGAGAGATTTAATTTAGATTGAAAATTGAATGATTTTAATGAGGGCCTGGGAATACTTTTTGTGAAATAAGTTCTATTTTTTTTATTATCATCTTATTTATAAAATAAAAAGAGAACCAGATTATGCATGACTATGTATGAATAATCTTAGGGTGTGTTTTAGAACATTCACTCATCAACCTTATATAATTGCTTTCATCTAATTCAATCTGTAGAAATGTAAACATTTATTTTTATAATAGTACCATTATTAGTTATAAAGTGAGTATGTTGGAAATTCATTCATTTCATCTGTTTTTTTTCCCCATTCCTTTCATTAAATGAAAATGAACACACAATTTCAGATTATGGATCATTAATTGGTAATCACTACTTGCTTAGAAGATTTTTGCCATATATGATATTAAAGACCATTCTATTCCAGCTCATGAATGTTCAAGAAAGTTCGATTGATCAAGCAAAGGTATGAAACCTGATATGCCAATACCAATGGCCCAGAATTTGGAGGAGAATTAATGGTTACCCACTACCCAATAAATGTATTTCTTGGAAACAATGATTCCACAACATTCTATCTACAAGCTGTTTTCCTTTTAATTTAGAAAAAAATAAGAATCTGAGATGATTACAGTACATTGCCTCTCCATCTTTGAACTTGTATTCAGTAAAATAAATATATGCATCAGAGGTATTAATTGAAGGTGGCATATGTCCGCTTAACAAGTTTCTGTGTAGCATTCAAAAAATGTTTGTAAAATTTCATGAAAATTGTTGTAGCAAAATATCCATAGATAATGGATCGGATATATGTGTCATTATGGCATTGTTGTTTTTCCTGTTCTTGTCAAATATTCATGACATTGTAATAACTCTGCAGAATTTTACAATTTGACTGAAATCGGAAGTACTTGCACTGTAAACTCATTGAAATATGAATTTGTAACTTGGAATCCAATGTTATTGTCTTCTTACATACAGCTGCATTTATCCAGAATCTGGGACTGATCAAAGTCGCCTTCATGGTGCATTGGTTAGAGCGTTTGCTCTTGAATCATGGAGTAAGGAATTGATCCTTGCGTTGCGGGTTCGAATCCCACTGGGGGACTTGGAGACCTGTCCTTCGGATGAGACCGTATAAACCGAAGTCCTTTATCACAGTATTTGCTGGCATGAAAAATATCCCTCACTGCTCAAAGGCCATAAGCGTCGAGTTCAGGTGTAAACTTGCAGCCCTACACTGGCAAGTGGTTGCATCTCAATATGAGTGAAAAATTCTTGAAAGGATGTTTTACAAACAAACAGACTAATAAAATGATTGATATGTTAACTTGCTGCTTTTAAGATAGCAGCTACCTGGATACAGTGCCTACAACATTTCACTCAAATAATACCATGTAAAGCCTCACCAGTCATATATGAGTAAGACATTAGCTAAAGATGCCTAGAAATTAATACATGTAGTTGGAATCTTTTGGAATGATTAAATCAAAATGAGGTCAAAAAGCTTTTTTTATAGGTTTACTTAAACTTGTTTTCCAACAGCAGCATACCAAGAAACCATGATGAACAAATACATGTACATGTGTACACCTCAAACATGTTTATATATACATGTATTTCTAAACGGTTTTGAAACAAAATTCCATTGACTATATTTCATCAATAATATTGTAAAGGTGCTTTAAGTAGGACATGTATAACAAGAGTCTTTCAATGAACTGATTAATTAGTAGTATAGACGGATTGTTATTGTGGTCAATTTTCTGCCAAAAAAACAATTTCTTATAAAATTTACTTTGACGTTGACACCTTCTCAAAATCGTATCAATGTTAACTTTTAAAATGCAGAAGTCTGATTTTGATGTACAAAACCTGTTATATAGCCCGTTTCCACGGAAACGGTGTTGGGGACATACATATTTTTTTTTTCAGTTCATTGTGATAAAAATGATCCAGTTAACAATTTCTTGGATTTTCGTGGAATCGGTAGATATGGAAATTGGTGATTTTTACTTGTTTGTTGCCATGGCAACGGTTTCACTTTATTCAGAAAAATTGAAATATCCTCTTTTTTACCCAAATTTTTACATTTTAAATAACAGAAATAAAAATTTAAGATAAATTAAGCATAAAATGTAATAATTCATGTCATTTTAATTATTCTAAGATGACGGATTATAATTTTTTTTTCATTGAAAATAATTAAAATTCAAAACGTCAAATACCTCAAATTTTGCGTCTTGGCTTAAAAAACGGGACGGGCAATATCTCTTAAAATCGTGTTTAAATGATCAAGTTATTTTTCCAAATATATTGATATACGACATATGTACAATTTTAAAAAAAAATTGGAGGGGGTCGCAAACCTTACCTTAATGGATATATTTCGCCGGAAAGCATATGCCAACGGAAGAAAGCAATGGTGGTCATGCTGGATTTTTAAAATTTAATAAATTTCCTATATATTCATATGAAAAAAGTCTCGGGAACAATAAGCTGAACATAAATCTACATTAAAGAATTTTTTGCACAATACATTTAAGTAAATGTTGCATTGATCCCTTATTGGTCCCAACTAAACCCTATTACAATAAATATGAATAAATTTAAATTTGCATTTTTGGGGGAATGCGGACATAGTAATATCATTTATATTGTGGCTTTGATGTTCGAGAAAAGATTCTTAGAGATTATTTTCCTACACATTCCAATTTAAAAATTTGATATCCTATTGTGGCCCAATCTTTCTCCAGGGAGGGCAAGGCGCATGACTTATACCAACTTAAATCTGAATGTTAAAATGACTAGTCATGACTTTTGTTAATATTTCTTGAGAATACTTTCTAGGAATGATGCGTTTCTATTTATTCCAGTGTAGAACTTTGATTCCCTATTGTGGCCCTGTTCTAACCCAGGGCTGGGGTGGGCATGATTTAACAGACTTGAATCTGCAGTACATGAGGACACTTGCATATTCATGATTAATCTTTAAATATCCTCGAAATGTAATGTGCAAATGCATGGCAATTTGTATTTTTACTACTTTCATTTTGGTTATTAAATGTCAGAACACTTTTTTTTGCACGATAATTTTTCTGACTTGAAAATAGTCAGGACTTTCTTCTAGAAATCCCCCGATCTCCCTTCAAAGAGCGATTTGAGGAAAATGTATGACATACATATGACCATCGTCTCAAGACACGGTCCGGAGTCCGTATATAGCTCTCCTACAATGGGAGAGGATCGTACATTTGGCCGTGGTTTGCGACGATGACATATGACATGGTTTGGATATTTTGTCTTTAAACTTTGTTGGGTGCGCAAAAGTTCTTAAAACTTTAAATTTTTTCCATTTGTGTTAAATGTAGCACACATTTTACTGAAATCCTAATGATACTCAGGTGACCGCAAAAATTCACAAATTCAGTAAGAACTAAAATCTACATGTAATAAAAACAGAATTTTAAAAATGAGTTTTTTATTTACCTTTACATCTTCGATACAGTTAGCGATGGTAATGTTAACTACATCAGGAACGTGTTTCTGACAAGTGTTGTATTCAGGTGAATCTTGAAAGGCTTTCAAACAAACTATCGTAGCGTATTCCTTCGTTTGTACGAACGTCATAAGTGTGTTTATCTAAATGAATAAAGAATACAACGATTGTTTTCAAGGACACGTATATTTTTTCTGACATGGTAGTAGTTAATATCTACATTACAACACAAAAAATGCACTGTGTTTTGTGTATATTATATTTACAAGAAAGAAAATATACATGCTTAAGATATGAAGATATTAAACATAACTAAAACATCCCGTTCTTTAGGATTGTCAACATCCGGTTCTCCGGGCTCACTAGACAAGTCTCCTTCCTGTCCTTGGTTCTGAACTTGATCTTTGTGAACATCCTGTTCTTCGGTCTTTTTAGTTACGAGGCCTTCCTGTTGCCGGTCTTGAACTCGTTGATCTTCAACATCCGGTTTCTCGGGCTTTCTCGATATGTCTAGATCTTGTCGGTTTTGAACTTGATTTTTGTCACATTCATATCGTTTACCCTGATCAAAATTACAAGGAGTAAAGGTCCTGTATGAGCACTCGGTTTGGCCACTATCGGTACATTTGCAATTGGAGCCTAGAACGTTGGAGATGGACTTCAGACCAAGATATATTAAACTATCACTGAAGAGATTCTCGCTGGCCTGTACTCTGTAAATTAAAATATAACATATTTTATAATCCATTTATGAAGAAATCTTGAAGTAGTTTAACTTCTTTGCGTATGGGTTTTTAAAACCAATTTTTCTTTGCATTTTTAAAAACTTACTTCCATGAATTCGAAAAAGTATTTGGATATGTCAATTCGATACTGTCTGTCGTAGTTTTGTCTCTTCTTGTAACGTCATTGTCTATAACACCGTCAAAAAAACCACATAAACCATAAGAATTTCCGAAATCCAGAGAAGAAGGGTTAATTTCCAAGTCAATGTTGTAATAGCCATTCCAATCCGTAATGTACACTGAAAGCGTTGTACCGGTGGGAAAATAAATCTAAAATGATATTTAAGATGTACATTTAGACATTGAACATCCAAATCCTAACTTTCTCAAGCCCAACTGACAAAAAGCTCAACAGAATCATGCTTCCCTTCCAGATGAATGAAAGTTAATGTTTTTTTTACCGTTTAATTCGATGGATTTGCTCCATACCATATAATACATTATAATTTTAATCGGGTTTTGCGTAGGAAAAATCTGATTATTTAAATGGAATGGCGGAAGGGCAGCTGCCAAAAGGGATATTATTTGTTCGGACAACTCCTCCTACAGTTTTCAAGACAGGGACTTTTTATGCCGCCGTAATCGAAGATTCGGAGGTATATAGTTTCTACCCTGTCAGTCAGTCTGTTTGTTTGTTCGCAAAACTTGCGCAGTACACTGCCTAAATTTTGATTGGTTGGAGCTATGGTTTCATATTTCACACGTGTATTCCTTGTGACAAGACCTTTCTTTGGTTACCATCATATTTGACCTTGGAGTTTGAACCAATTTTGTAAAATTTTACCCAATTTTAACCTTGGTCATTTCTTTTGAACATTTGGTGCTAGCGCTTTCATACTTCACGCGTGTAATCCTTGTGAGAAGACCGTCCTTTGGATACCAACAACTTTGACCTTGACCCACGAGTTTGACCTACTTTTGGAAAACTTAATCCTTGGCCAATGGCCATAGCTTTTGAACTGTTGGTGCTAGTGTTTTCATACTTCACATATTTAATCCTTGTGACAAGACCCTTCTATGGATACCAACAATTTTGACCCTTTGACCTACTTTTGGAAAACTTTAACCTTGACCATAACTTCTGAACAGTTGGTGCTAGAGCTTTCATACTTCACAGATGTAATCATTGTGACAAGACCTTCCTTTGTACCTCATGTATGTAATCTTCCTAACAAGACATTCCTTTGGATACTCTAACAACTTTGACCTTGACCTAGGAGTTTGACTTCTGAGAAACTTCAACCTTTGCCATAACTTCTGAACTGTTGGTGCTAGGGTTTTCATATTTCAATTGTATATTTCTTGTGAGAATGCCTTTCCTTAGGCACCATTTATTTAACCTTGACGTTTGACATACCTTTGAAAAATTTTAACTCTCTCCGTATCTATTCACTGGTTGCTCAAGACCTTTCTTTGGGTACCAACATATTTGATTTGCATTTGAGAAAGTTTAGTATTCGCTATAAGTTGTCATACAGGGCAACAGTGTTTCACAAACACATCATGTTTATTTTGCAAATCAATTGTACATATATCAGAGATGTGCATACTGCTTGGTTTTGATAATCTTTAGAAAAATACCAGTTGTTCAACGTAGACATCATTTTGGAAAATATTGCAAAGAGAACCCCATTTGTCTGGATAACTCCTACAGTTTTCAAGATAAGAGGGTTGTTTTTTATTTTGCAGATCAGTTGATCAGTTGTACATTTATCAGATATGAGCACACTGCATGAATTTGATTTTCTGTTAATTTTTGAGGAAAAAACAGCTGTTCAACTTAGTCATGTTTCTGCAAAATTTTGCATATAGTGTACACCATTTGTGCGGATTACTCAACCGACTCCTCCTACAGTTTTCAAGAACAAAGATTCTTATTTTGCAGATCAGTTGGTTTTACATGTATATAAGAGATATGCATATTACTTGGATTTCGATTTTTTGATTATTTTTGAGAAAAATGCAAGCTTTGTTTGCAAAATATGCATAAAGGGTACATCATTTGTCCGGATAGCTCAACCTACAGTTTCACGAATCACGATACTTGAATGAAGTTTTTATTGAGCATATCAATTGTAAATGTATCAGAGATGTGCATATTACTTCGATTTAGATTTTTTGATCATTTATAGAGAAAATGCCATTTGTTGAACTTGTCATTTCCATGCAATATATAGTAATAGCGTACATTGATCTTGTTGAGATCAGCTCCTACAGTTTTCGGAATAGACAGTTTTCAAAATAGATGACGTTCACATATACAAGAGTTATTTCACTTCGTCACCGTTCAAGGTAGCTCAGTCGGTAGAGCGCTTGCTCCGTGATCAGTAGGTCGTGAGTTCGCGACTGACCTAAGTCGATTAAAAATGTGTAGCAGCTGTTTCTTCGCCATGCGTCGGCACTTTGAAGTGAAAGTTGCGGGTCCTTCGGATGAGACCTTAAAAACCGAGGCCCGGCAGGCGTTAGCACGATAAAGATCCCTCACTGCTCAATCGCCCTGAGTGCCGAGTAAAGGTCAAAATTTGAAACCCTTCACCGGTATATGGTGACATCTCTATATGAGTGAAAAATTCTCGAATTGGACGTAAAACAATATACTATCAATCAACTTCTGGGGTCAGTGTAGGTTCAACCGCCATAGGATATTTTTATCCCTCTAGAACATTACCAAGTTTATGGGCAGTATCTGATGAATTAAATCTTTATGCGTATCATTATTTAATATATCTTTTCTTTGTTGTCCCATACCTTGCCAATGAAGGTAGGAAATTAAAATGTCAAAAGATTTTGAAATATTGAAAATTTTTACATGTAAATTAGAAAGGACATACATGTAGCGAGAAAAATGGGTATTTTCTAACAAAGGTAAATAACTCTTGCAAATGGAAAATTGTCTATCGATGTGAAAATACCAGTTCTATACACAAAGGGAAAAGGATTTGCTGTCACATTGACAGCTTTCCAAAAGTTACACATTCAGGTTGAGAATTATCACACATTCTACATAAATTACTTTGGTTTTCTCATGTGTGTCCCAAAGAAAATAATATAAGATAGGAATATAAAATAATTCGGTCACTTCATTAATACATGTATATCGACGTCACAGAAAGGCATATCCACCTCGCTCTTCGAACTTAACTATTGCGCATAAATTTTTGCACATTTGCATATAGCGCAATATTTAATATTTATGTTATTATATGACACACGATATCCCGCAGAAATAACTAAATTTTTGATTTTGTGCGGGTTTTTTTCTCTTATATGAGATATCTTGTGCGTTTTTGTATATGAGATATCAAAAAGAAGGGAAAAAAACGTGCAAGCATTTATTCCATTTAAGCATATGACGCCCGAACTAAAATCTGAATGCCATGGCTGGAATAAATTTTAATTAACCCTATCTGGGATGTTTGCATAATCTGACTTATATTTTGGCCCTGTTGACTCGAATAAAAATGAAGATTCATGAGTTTTCTAAAATTCCCTTACAGAACGAATCTGCACTATCTGCGCTTGCTTGCATATAAATTTGACTGATTGTTGCCCTTGATGCTCTTCAGAACATTTTTAAGTTAACTTTTGATCCCCCTTTAGCCAACGCAACCTCTGGTTATTTGATTGGTTGTATGTTGCTGTACATCCCAATCGAGAATTTTTATAGAGACGTCACCATATACCGCTGAAAGGCTTCAAATTTAGACCTTTACTCAGCATTTGAGCCATTGAGCAGTAAAGGATCTTTATCGTGCCAACGCCTGCCATGACACTGGGCTTCGATTTTTTAAGGTCTCATCCGAAAGACCCGCAGCTTTCACTTCAAAGTGCCGAGCGCTTGGCGAAGGAACAGTTGTTTTCTTTTTTTTTTAGCTCACCTGAGCTGAAAGCTCAACTCAGCTTTTCTAATCATCCGTTGTCCGTCCGTCTGTAAACTTTTCACATTCTCAAGAAGATCAATTTTAACCAAACTTAGTACAAAGCATTCTTGCGTAAAGGGGAGTTTAAGCAGGGAGTCTTGTTCTGGTTTCTGACTAGATAAAATATTCAAAGTATATTTGCTTATATGTTTTATATATTTAGATGTAAGAGATTTAAAAGATCATTTTTTTTTTCTTTCCTCATCACAATTGTACAACTTTAAATAGAAATGATACAGTGTGTTTGAAATCTAGCAGGGACTTTATTTTTGGCGGAATGACGGCGTATGAAAATATCTTCTTTTCTGCCTCTCAAAATAATTATAGAATAATGAATTTAGTTATAATTTTTACACAATCAAAGACTTGAAGAAAATTTTTAAATGTAAGTTAAATTAATAATAAGGGACTAAAGTTTTAAAATATATCAAATAAATATGATTTTCCAAACAAACTACAGTTATGTTAGCTTTTAAAAGCTTCCAATCAAAGTTCAGATTTGAGCCAAAAATCAGTAAAAAGTGTTTTTTCTCTCTTAGTAAACGGTCAAAACTTTTTGTTTTTATATCATTTTGTATTTTTATATGACAACTTTACCTTATGTGAAAATAAGAAAAATTTGAATATAGGAGGCATATAAAAATAACTGAAATATCTTAAAATTTTAAGAAAAATAGAGAAAATTTGGATTAGCCAATTTCCATTTTAGCTAAATTATTTATGTCAATTTGGTAATATCAGCTTATAGGCCCTATATGGTAATATCTCTTTATGCAAAAAGAAAAACATTTAATTTATTGAAACAGAAGTAGGCATCGTATGATTCGCAACAGTAATTTTTTATTCTTAATGTCCAGGAAAAAGATACTGACCTTGACCTGCCCTTGCCTCTAATATAAAACGGTCAAATTTAATCTAACGGATACATCACTTAGTGATATTGTCTTCTTGATTCTGTGAAAGTTTCATTGATATCTAAATATAAGAAATAAGTGTTCTTAAGAGAAGAATCCCTCCTTAAATTATTAAAATGAAGGGCCAAGCCCACTTCAAAGGGGAGATAATCAAGAAAAGACAAAAATTGGGTGGGGTCATTAAAAAATCTTCTCAAGAACCACTGGCCCAGAAAAGCTGAAACTTATGTTGAAGCATTCTGGGATAGTGTAGATTCTAATTGTTTAAATCATGATCCCCGGGGGAAGGGCGGGGCTACAATAGGGAATCCCAAGTTTTACATTGAAATATGTAGTAAAAATCTTCTCAAGAACCACTGGGCCAGAAAAGCTGAAACTTATGTGGAAGCATTCTGGGGTAGTGTAGATTCTAATTGTTTAAATCATGATCCCGGGGGGTATGGCGGGGCTACAATAGGGAATCCAAGTTTTACATCGAAATAGGTAGTAAACATCATAATGAATCTTCCTCTCAAAAACCACTGGGCCAAAAAAGTTGAAACACATGTGGAAGCATTCTGAGGTAGTGTAGATTAAAAATTGTTCAAATAATGACCCCCGGGGTAGGGCGGGGCCACAACAGGGAATCCAGGTTTTACATGGAAATATGTAGTAAAAATCTTCTTCTCAAGAACCATTGGGACAGAAAGCTGAAAATAATGTGGAAGCATTCTGGGGTAGTGTAGATTCTAATTGTTTAAATCATGACCCCCGGGGTAGGGCGGTGCCACAATAGGGAATCCAAGTTTTGCATTGAAATATGTAGAAAAAATCTTTAAAAATATTCTTCTAAGGAACCACTGGGCCAGAAAGGCTGAAACTTAAGTGGGAGCATCCTGGGGTAGTTTAGATTCTAATTGTTTAAATCATGACCCCCGGGTTAGGGCGGGGCCACAATAAGTACTACAAGGGGGGGGGGGGGCAGGTGAAAAACAGCAAGGCCAAAGTTACTCAGGTGAGCGTTGTGGCCCATGAGCCTCTTGTTTCCGAAATTCGACCTCCCGACCTTCCAATCACGGAGCGAGCGCTCTACCGACAGAGCATATATTCGAACAAAATTGAGTTAACATTATATCAAGAAGCATTCACACAAGATTCATTGTTTATAACGCAGTAGATTTTGATGAGATTTTTGGGTAATCTGGGTCGGTCAGTTGACCATTGCTATTCGTTATCGTCCGTTGTGCATTAACATTTGTATACTTTCAGCTTCTTCTCTAGAACCGCTGAACCAATTTCAAAAATCTAAAAAGTTAATGAACGGACAGACAAACTTTCATTTAAAAACCGTTAATGATTTAATCCATAATTTTACGTCTTACTCTAATCTATTTTTTTTTTAAAATATCGATCAAGTAATGATAATAAAAAACAAGTTAAATATATATTTTTAAATAACTACCATATGTATTACCTTATAATGTTTATCATTGACTTTTATTACCACTAACACATTGTCGTCACACAATTCAAATTTAATGGCGCCATTTGCTCCACAAAAATCAATGACGAATACATCTCTGCCTGCTCTTGCTGCCACTGCGCAAACGCACATGGGAAAGTTGTTTGATGGGAAGCATAGGTGATGCCTGGATTGTATCTATAAACAATTATAAAGTACAGGTTCATTTCTGGTTAGACGCCAAATATCGCGGTTAAGGACATACGCAACGTAGTTTGAACTTTATTGTCTTTTTCCTTGGAGTTGAAGAGTTCCACTACTTAAAGGAACTGCGTGCTACATTTTAATGTCTATATATGCTGTTGTACACTTCTTTTAAAACAAGTTTGTCTAAACAAAACATCTAGAATATATGTTTAGCAATTTTTGTAATTTCTTCTTTGAATTATACAAGATTTTTCATCAATTGATATCTTCAAAACCCCTGGTTATGCATACTGATTTTTTGTCTACGTACAACTGATAGCACTATAATCATAAATTAAGAATATCTTGAAAAATTATCAGTAGGAAAGGTACATTGCGTATGTCCTTAAACGTTTCGTATTTGATGAGCATTTCAAAGAAAAAAATTACTGACAATCAAATGTATTTATATTTCGAGGGCTGATCCAAAAGTTCGTGAAATTTCTTTCTAAAATTTCATCGTGATGTGATTAAAGCAAATAATAGACATGTTTATAAAAATAGAGCCATTATGCAACAATACTGGAGAATTTCACCACGTTCCAATTACCATTAAGGTCAAAGGAGCTTTTTTTAAAACATGGACAATTGTAAAATCCGGAGAAGAATTGGACATAACGTCGTTAGGTATGTCACGTTGTAGGAGCATCTCACCCTTTTGTTCAAATCGACTTAGAAATTCTAAAGAACGCTGCATTCGTTTCTCCATTTCTGTTCTCGAAAAAATCCAGGGAACCCATCTCGCATCCACTTTCTTCTTATTACGACAATTTCTCAAAATACGCGCTCCATCGTTCCATATGATGTTCCTATTTCAGTAGCAACGCCAACCACAGTATGTCTGCGGGCCACGTCCATTAACGCTCTCAATTTGTCTATGAGGAAAAAATGACCTTCCAATAGGCAGCCGTATCATTTATCTTCATCGATGGAAGTTATATTTTTCTTGAAGTTCTCACGCCACTGGAAAACCAGTTGCTTACTTGCACTTTTGTCCTGTCGGTATCACTAGTATATGCGTTTAAGTCGGAGTGTTCCCGATATTTTCACAAAACTTAGTATTAGACCGAATTACGACGTTGTCCCATGATGTCATGATGAACAACAAATCATCAATTGAAAAACTAATAATCCAGTAAAATCGATAAAGCTTTCACACAATGGTTTATAAAAGGTCAAGCAATCGTAATAATGACATCATTTTCGTTTCATATGCCACTTAGCGCATTTTTCCCCTTACAATGAATATTAAGAATTGAAATGATAATGAAGGAATAAATGTCTCTCCCGCATTTTCATACATCCGTTTCTATGACAACTGCCAAAGTGTTACTTATAGAGATGTTTCTGCATATGAAACGAATCCGAATCTGAAATGAATATGAAACGAATCTGAATTGGAGGGATCTCGATCCCGATTTGAAAAATAACATTATACACTGAGAAAATGATTACTGATTTCCCCCTGGTATATCAAACTGTAACCTGCACGAAAAGTTAAGTGTTTGTGCCCCCCCCCCCCCCATATCCTGGAAGTAAAAGTCTATGACATAAATCGTATATGGAAATTATGCCTGTATATTAAATGAAACAATTGCGAAAAAATAAGAATTTATGAAGTAAGCTAGTTTGATTAATTTTTCTTGGTGGCTTGGGAATGTGTTTAAAATGCCGATAGTGAACCAGAAATTCTGTTTAGAGTGAGGAGGGGACAATACCAATAAATTTCCAAAGTTTAGATAAATATTCAGCCATAAATATTCAGCAAGGGTTTCAAAAAAAGTCTACAAGCAAAAAAAAAATTTTTAACTGTCCAAATTCTCGAACCTTATAGCAAGAAAAAGTGGGGGTGGGTGGGTAGAACCAGTTTCTAAATAAAAATTTACTATAGAAAAATACTTTACTCAGAAAAAAGTAGGAACCCCCCCCCCCCCCGTTCTACGGGTTTGTCAGCATTTTTACTTTGATATTGATAGATCTCTGCATGTGTTTGTGTGTGGGGTGGGGTGGGGGGATTAATGGGCTTTAGAATTCTCCTCGATCAGCTTACGAGGGGTCCGTGTTTAATTCTCAAAGTGGAGGGATGGCAAGTTTATTTTAGCTTACTATATTATATACAATTTAATAACTCTGAAAAACCTGAAATGCTTTCACACCTTACCAACTTGATCGTTACTGACTGCCCAAGTTCTATAGTATTATATGAGGGAAGTAACGACCGGGTGAGAGATGGAGGCCAGTAACCCCCCCCCCCTTTTAATAACTTTGCCTTTATATGAATGTACTACATAATACAATCAGATCAAAATTATGGTTATGTTCCTCATTAATGAAGTCTTAGACCTTTTTTTTTTTTTGGCTCGTTAAGATTTTTTTCATTGGTTCAGTTGCGTCCCATCCCTGTATTTTATAAATATTACTTATTACATGTAGTAATAAATATCTTTTCAATACATACGCAAAAATATCAGTTTTGTGTTAAATTTAAGTGCATTGTTAAACTAACTAGAAATTCGTTCATCGAGAGAATTGTGTTAAATATTGTAAGAAAATGAAGACAGGAGGAGACAACATAGAAGCATTTAGACGTGGGAGACAAATTACTTTTACTACCCATTTTAACAAGCTACATTCTTCACCAATCAAGGGAATTTTCCAAGAAATGAAAGGAAAGGTTTGGAATAGACACTTGTAGATACAATGAAAATCGCAGAAAATTTTCGAAAAAAATTGGGATGCGTTGGTCATATGGTTGCTGAAAAAGTTATTTTTCCGACATAATTTTCAATTACCTATAAAAATATAAAAGGACTCATGATATATGAACATTTAAACATACTTTTAAAAACAAAAAAAAATAGAACAGAACACGATTCTCGCGAGGAACGATAAAGTAAGTAGCTGAATAATATATAACAATAATGCTTAACGAGAAGATTTAATTTTCCCTTGAATTGAATGGGTACCTGTTCTGTTATTCAGCCTATATAATTTGACTTGTCCGTCTTATAACACCCCCATCCAAATGACAAAAATCTAAACACCATCCACTGATTTTTTTTTTCAATATTTGTTACAGGGCATTTTTTTACTGTCATATTAAACAGACAGTGTAGATACTTGTATTCCGCATCGCATACGTGATTATGAACTAGTTAAATTCAAAAGATTGGGGGGGGGGGAGGGGGGAGAGGCTCAAACACTTTTCAAATTTAAAATCTGTATAATCCTCTGTCATCATACAGGTGAAAAATACTTTGTAAATCACAGAAAAACATCAATTATCATATACTACATGTATATCATTATTCATTGAATAATTTAGAAAATTTCTTGTGCTATTTTTCTCAGTTTTCAAATCGGGATCGAGATCCCTCCGATTCAGATTCGTTTCAGATTCATTTTCAGATTCGAGTTAGATTCAGAAACATCTCTATTATGAATATTTTTATTTTTTATTAATGAAAAAGAATTAACAAGTGTATTTATCTCCATCTGTAATTTTCAATCACTTCCACTAGTAAATAAATAAAATATTAAGACATTCCACGAACTTTTGGATCAACCCTGTACATATTAAATAAATACATATTTTTTGAAGTTATGGACCATATCATATCTTTGATGTTTGATCCCATGAAAAGAAGTAATATCTTTTATCAGTCACGTTAACTGTTTAAATTTATTTGGTCAGATTATTAGAATATCATTTTAATTCGATTAAGTGGGTTATATTTCGTTCATTCAACTTACCCATTGTAAGTAGGGATCATTCCTATAGTTGTTAAAGTCTCCTGGTAAATGGCACTCATAAGACCTTAAAAGGGAGAGATTATTCTTCTTTCAGTTAATAATTGTATGTCATGGTATAATGCAAGAATGAGTGACACTGTTGAATCCAAAATATTGAAAGTAAAATTATAAACATAGAAATTCAGGTCAAAAAGACCCTTAGATTAGAAATCATTATAATAAAAACAAAGGATAGGGGTGGACAATTCAAGAAAATTCCCCCTCTCTGAGACAATTTATATTAAATTTTCTGAATTGAAAGATTATATTTTTAAACAAATTATGTTGTCAGTTATGCTATCTATAACACATTTTATTGAATGACGTATTGATTGAATATTTGTTTTTAAGTTGACAGTTACGCTCATTTTGTGGAAAAGTCTACTGGAGCCTTAAAAAGATTTTTTAGTACGAATGGTACAGTATTGTGCCATAAGTGACCGGAAAAAGTCACGTACATTGCGTATATTTTGTTGTATAGTATATAATTTTATCGGCGAACTAAAATAATAAAAAAGGTATCGGTGAAAATGACGCCTGACAAATTTACACATAAAAGTTCTCGTCTGCATTGTGTATTGCGCATGTAAAGAATATGGCTACCACTGCGTGAAAAAACACCTTTACAAAACTTTACGTCAAAAGTAAATTTAATTAAAGATATAGAGAATATCAAGGTTACCTTTGTATCAACTTTAATTCAAGTAAAGATGCAAAGATGATCTTTACAATACTAAAATGTAATTAAATTATATCTTTCATATTTACGGATCAGTAAATTTAACATTTTCAATCTTTTAAATTTGATAAAAGATGTTCATCTTTGACTAAGGATGCAAAGACCATTTTTACAATAATTAAATGTATTCAAATATCATCTTTCGTATTTACGGAAAAGTAAATTTAATATTTTCAATCTTTTAAACTTGAGAAAAAGATGATCATCTTTGACTAAAGTTGCAAAGATGATCTTTACAATACTTAAATGTAATTAAATTACATCTTTCATATTTACGGAACAGTAAATTTAACATTTTCAATCTTTTAAATTTGAGAAAAAGATATTTATCGGTAGACTTTGTTTATGATCAGAATGCTTAAGTATTCTGTGTGTGTAACGCATTAAATACTTGTCAAATTTTACAACCTCTTTTTGAAAACACTAAAAATAAGACAGAAACGCACATTTTTAAATAATTCTATTTATTTCAGGATCATTGTCAACAAAAAAAAAAAAATAATAATAATAAATGGACCAGGAATACCATTATATAAAAATATTGTTTAAAATTACAATATACATTGAGATAAAAATACTTACAATTATGATTTATGATTTGAGCTACATACAGTTGTTACATTTTTGAAGCCAAACTTGCTTTAAAACCAGTATATTATAAACATATCAATTTAAAAAAAAAAAAAAACAACCAAAATTACTCTTACCTTATATATATCAATAGATAACTTTTCCTTATATAAAATATTACACTTGCATTTTTTTAGTATAATAGTGGGCATATACAGTATCAAATGTTCTATGTGCCCAGCAAATGTGCACAAGTAGTACCATGTGCAAATATGTAAAAAGAAATAAATGTGTAAAAAATAAATGTGCACAAGTAGTACCATCTGCTTCATGTGTCCATCTTCACACATCGAAACGTGTGTGCTTGACTTCACAAAGCAGTACCACTCGTGTGAATACTCTACTAAAATGGAAAAAGAAAAGTGAATGTGTAAAAATAAATGTGCGCAAGTAGTACCGTGTGCTTCATGTGTCCAGCTTCACACATCGAAACGTGTGTGCTTGACTTCACAAAGCAGTACTACTCATGTGAATACCCTACTAAAATGTAAAAAGAAAAGTGAATGTGTAAAAATAAATGTGCGCAAGTAGTACCGTGTGCTTCATGTGTCCAGCTTCACACATCGAAACGTGTGTGCTTGACTTCACAAAGCAGTACTACTCATGTGAATACCCTACTAAAATGGAAAAAGAAAAGTGAATGTGTAAAAATAAATGTGCACAAGTAGTACCATGTGCTTCATGTGTCCAGCTTCACACATCGAAACGTGTGTGCTTGACTTCACAAAGCAGTACCACTCGTGTGAATACCCTATAAATATGTAAAAAGAAAAGTGAATGTGTAAAAATAAATGTGCGCAAATAGTACCGTGTGCTTCATGTGTCCAGCTTCACACATCGAAACGTGTGTGCTTGACTTCACAAAGCAGTACTACTCATGTGAATACCCTACTAAAATGGAAAAAGAAAAGTGAATGTGTAAAAATAAATGTGCGCAAGTAGTACCGTGTGCTTCATGTGTCCAGCTTCACACATCGAAACGTGTGTGCTTGACTTCACAAAGCAGTACCACTCGTGTGAATACCCTATAAATATGTAAAAAGAAAAGTGAATGTGTAAAAGTAAATGTGTACAAGTAGTACCGTGTGCTTCATGTGTCCAGCTTCACACATCGAAACGTGTGTGCTTGACTTCACAAAGCAGTACCACTCGTGTGAATACCCTACTAAAATGTAAAAAGAAAAGTGAATGTGTAAAAATAAATGTGCGCAAGTAGTACGTGTGCTTCATGTGTCCAGCTTCACACATCGAAACGTGTGTGCTTGACTTCGCAAAGCAGTACTACTCATGTGAATACCCTACTAAAATGTAAAAAGAAAAGTGAATGTGTAAAAATAAATGCACAAGTAGTACCATGTGCTTTATGTGTCCAGCTTCACACATCGACACGTGTGCTTGACTTCACAAAGCAGTACTACTCATGTGAATACCTTACTAAAATGTAAAAACAAAAGTGAATGTGTAAAAATAAATGTGCGCAAGTAGTACGTGTGAAGAGGAAAGATTAAATTTAATATGTAAATAAATGACATTTTGTGTAATTAAAGGTGATTGAAATATACAGTATGTTTACAATATGTAAACTTTTAGTTTCATGCAAACAAAATAATATATTTAATACCATTAAATATCAAATTTACTGCCACTAAAATATGTAAACATTTATTTTAATGCAAACAAAATAATATATTTAATGCCATTAAATATCAAATTTACTGCTTTGTAAAGCCAAGTGGGACATTACATTATATTTAAGTGAAGTAAAGTTATAGTAAAGGTCACCTTTTAGAACTTTGACTTTTTTCAGTAAAGTCATTTAAAGGTAATGTAAATTTAAAATTTACTTTATCTTTACTGGGTTTGTAAAGCTATTTTTTCACGCAGTGTACGGATCGGGAAGAAATAAGATATGATATCAAAGAAATATTTGTGTATTTGTGTCAGACAGGACTAAAATAGCAAGAAATATCTCGAGGTTGGGAATACCCAGAAAAATAACATCAGCGATAGATCGATTTCGAAAGTGAGCTACTATAGAAAAATATACCAAGAAAAGGGTCAAAACTAGATAACTTTTAAAGTTTGTGAAAGAAAAAAGAAAAAGAAGTTTGTATGATATTACTGCTTTATTTAACCAACATAGAGAGTCTTCTGTTTCAAAACGAACTTTGCAGAGAAGTTAGTGTACTGTAACCAGAGGTATTTAAGGAGAGGTGTAAGAAAAGGAGCCATCATTCGTGAAGTCAATCGTAAAGCTCGGCATTCTTGGTGCACAGGCAAAAATTAGAAACCTTTCAACATTACTTACAGAGAGTGATATTCATTGATGTAAATGGGCATTTGGTTCTGATAATCGCGTATTTATCTGGCGAAATGTCGGAGAGGACTGCTACCCTGTTGTTTATCGCAATGTTACAACGCGAAATGTAATAAAAACGCAAAATGTAATAAACTCGGATTATTACATTTCGCGTCGAAATCAACACAGAATGTAATGGCGCAAAATGTAATAACACAGTTGTTGGATTATTTCATTTTGCGTTATTACATTTTGCGTTGGGATTAACGCAAAATGTAATAATGCACTTTTTGGTTGTTACATTTTGCGTTACTTAATTTTTTGAGGACAATGCAAAATATAATAAAACAAAATGTAATAAAACAAAATGTATATTTTTGTATTGTGTTCAACATAAAAAACATCACACAATTGATTTAAACCTATATTATTAATGGGGAAACTCGCTTTACCAAACAGACCTTTGACTCTGAGGCAAATGTTACGGCTTTTACGGACATACTAAATCTAATTGTATGTTTCTTTCTAACTCTGCTTCTAACATTTTTATTGAATACTTTAAATAACATTAACTTAACTTTGATTGACATGTCTATTTACAATTCAGTCTGTTTATATTCATCACTGACATTCTAAATTACCAAAGATTGACCATGGGTCCATTAAAATCTCTCGATATGCATGTAAGATGTGTCTGTTTACTTTGGTTTGTGAATTAGACGTGTATGTCTGTGTATATCTGGCGAGGAGAAGCGGGGTTGGGTTACTTCATATGTGTATCATTGTATTTTTATGCGCATGCAGAAACTATCCATATTGGAGAGAGAGAGAGAAAAAAAGAATTTTATTTTTGCTGGTCTGCAATGCACTGATTTGTAAAACAGTATGAAATCTTAATTGACAGAAACCCCCTCCCAGCTATATTTACACGTTCGGTAAAAATAAATAGATTTCTGTTCTTAATTTCATGCATGTGCCTATTTAAAGCAAAAGCAAACTGATACACTGATCAACGAAATTAACCCCCCCCCCCACACACACACGCACGTGTGCACGCACTTTTTTAAATTTGCAACACCTAAGATTTGAATATCAACTGATTTTAAAACAGATCTAATGTAAGACTTGGCGTACGTTTATTTTTCCTTTTGATTTATTTTCTTTATGTTTTTTTCCCACTACTCGGTTTAAAATTATTTTCAACCTGACTGACCTAAAGGTATGTTACAACATTTTGCAGTGTTGGATTTTGCTTAATCTCGACGCAAAATGTAATACGAAATGTAATAATGCAAAAATCACGTTGTTACATTTTGCGTTTTTACATTTCGCGTTGATCTCGACGCAAAATGTAACAACGCCAAATGTAATAATCCTAAAAAGTCTGATTTTTTACATTTTGCGTTATAACATTCTGCGTTGATCTCGACCCAAAATGTAATAACGCAAAATGCAATAATCCTGGTTTATTACATTTTGCGTTGTAACACTGCTACCCTGTTTCTTTATCGCAGACTCCAACGCCAAAGGTCAGTTTAATGGTATCGGGATGTTTAAACTTTAATGGTGTAGGCACACTTTACTGTCGTATACGGCAATATAAATATATTGATGAACACTTTTTGCCGGTTATTGTAGGTCATTTTGCTCATAATAACATCTTCCAAGACGACAATGCACCCATACATAGAGCGCGGTTAATGCATGGATTCAAAGTACAAACTACATTCTCTTTATGTTCCGACTAGTACAGAATTGCGATTTAAGCATTATTGAGAACGTCTAGTTCAGAATCAAAAGAGAACTGAAAATGGTGACAGTATTATCACCTCCAAAAATGAATTGTAGACAACCATTAGACGAGTGACAAACTTCCCGATAGTCTACATTCTCGGAGTCCTTACAAGTCAATAATGTACGTCCGAATCCTATATTAAATTGAATGAATGTAAAATCTATTATATGTTTAAAAAATAGAATTTAACACCGTTCTATATAAAAATATCTCAAACATTTCTTGAAAAAAATGAAATGCTTCAGCAATTCCTTTATACAATGATAAGAAAACTTCGTAGTGTAGTGGTAAACACGTTTAATATAAAGTTTTACCGAGAGCTTCGGAGAGAGTTCGAATAATACGCGAGGCTATTTTCCCCTTTTATAATGTTAAATTAAAAGTTTAACTCTTCAGTGTAGGAAGGTAAATTTATTAAGCGATAGAAATTCGTCGGCTTAGTCAGTGTAAGGAACATTAGCACGATATTTTCTCCTTTATTATTGAATGACAATAGGTAACAGTTTGATTTCGAAATTTTATACATTATATAAGCGTTATGCATAATTTGATTTCTTCAGAATTATTCATTTTTAGTTTATAAGCGTTAAACAATCATACCTTCTCTCATCGAGTTTTCTACAGGGTGTATCGAATTTGTTATCTTGTGCTTAAAATGTTTAACATTTCCATCCGATGCTTAAAGAATAAAGACATAAATTTAATTTAAAGGAATTTGTTTCTCTTCTCCATCAGATATAGCAACCAGTAGAAAGCCGAGTGGTATACTACGAGCTAATTCACCAGACATTCACACGGTACAAAAGTGTGTGTGAAAATAACACAATTGAAAAACAAATTATTTATCAATAGTTATTCAATAAAATTACTGACATCACATTCTTTGAAAAATATGACTTGTCCATCAATTTCAGAATTGAGGAAATCTTTTCTCAGAGATGGGGACTGTCCTCGGCTTGCACACCCCCTTTTTTGAGTACTGTTCCATTATCGTGAGGACAATATTTTGATTCTTGTGCATCTTATAAATGTTGACATGGTCCATTAAAAAAGACATTTTGGTGAAACTTACTTTCCATCAAATGTATACATGTGTGGATCTGCTCTAACACTACAAAATTTTCCTTTCCATTCCTCGTTTGTCTCCAAAGAACGTAACTGCAATTAATGCATCAAATAAAATGATGAGCGAGGTAATTTGTTCAATTGTATTTGAAAGCGCAAAAAAAAATTTCTCTGCAATGGATTAATATACCATTGTTTGAACGAAAATTAGTCACATGGGGATTAACAGAGCATTTGCTGGGTATATCATGCTAAGAAAATTATTAAAGACCCATTACTTATTGCATTTTCCATACTGCAGAATTTTGGGTTAACAATCAGAAATAAAAACAAAAAGAACACGAGGAAACACACAACGAGTTCGTTAAAAGTTATTTCCAATCATCAAACGTAGGAGATGATTTTTATAATTTTTACTTAATTTTAATGGTTTTATTTCTTTTTTAATTTTATAATTGGCTGCAGTACACTTCAAAACAACGAGAACAATCTTAAACAGTTATGCCTATTGAATGAAATATGGAGATAACTAACAGTTATCAAGCTGAAAAATCAATCCATTGAAACAGTACATACCAGAAGAGCAAACGCGGACCTTTAAAAACACAAGAGGCGAGATCAAGTGCTGTGGAGGAGTAAGCATCCCCTGTCAACCGGTTACACCTGCAGTGTGATCATTGTCATGCTCGGGCAAACGAAAAAACTCGTACTAAACAATTCATTGCGTGGAAATTGCCTAACAATTTGTATGAAAACAAGGCAATCAACATTCGACTTAAAATTGTATTTGCTGACTAAGCCATTGAATCGACGATAGAATTTGCAAAAATGTGACTTTATACAAGACTGTTGACAAGACAAGTACATCTACTTGTTTCATCAATTTGTTTATCAATAGCTTGTCTCGTTTTGGAAATTATTGCTACATAGAGCATGCTCTTGTAAAATCAAGGCACTAATACCTTTTCAAGTTTTGGAAATCACGTGGACTCCACCATTTAATTATCTATAGCGTGTTTGTTTTGTCAACATGGTTTTTTAACTGATATTTTTCTTGGGAAAGATTGGTGTTTACCGAAAAAAAAAATCAGCTTCTCTGTGGGACCAAGCAATTTTCACTTATGAATTCTACCTCGTTTTCGATGATTTTAACTACATAACTTTCATTACACTACTTAACTGTTTAAATCACTTAACTATCTCATATTTCCAAATTATAGGTAAATCCCGAAATGTTTATTCATATGTTTAATGCATAACATTAGTTTACTAGCTTTCACATCTACCTTTTTGTATTTACTAGTTTGCTTCTTTGTCCCCCGCTTTCGCGAAAGCGAGGGGACATTAAATCTCATTCGTCTGTCAGTCACAAAAACTTTAACCTTGGCCATAACTTTTGAGTGAGAATAGATTGGACTTTCAAATTTCACATGTACATTACTTGTAACAAGACCTTTCCAAATATACTATGATTTTTGACCCCGTAACCTTGAAGTTTGACCTACTTTTCAAAGAAATTATCATTACTTTAAATTGGTCATAACTTTTGAATAAGAAAAAGTAAGGATTTCATATTATACTTGTATATTACCTGTGACAAACCTTTCCAAATATACTACGATTTTTGACCCCATGAACTTGACCTTGAAGTTTGACCTACTTTTCTAAAAATTATATCTTTGCTTACAACTTTTGAGTGAAAGAGATTGGGTTTTATATTTGACATGAACATTACCTGTGACAAGAGCTTTCGAAAATTTACTGACTCTTGAACCCTGACCTTGAAGTGTGACCTACTTTTCAAAAAAAAATTAATACTACTTTAAATTGGTCATAAAATTTGAATGAGAAAAAGGTGGGGCTTTCATATTTAATATGTACATTACCTGTGACAAGATTTTTCCAAATATACTATGGTTTTTGACCCCACTTTACAATTTTGTTATGTTTACTTATATCTTTTGATTGGGAATAGAAAGGGCTTTCATATTTGAAATGTGCATTTCTAGTGACAAGGTGTTTCCGATTATGCTATGATTTTTTACCCTTTAATCTTGACATTCATGTTTGACCTAAATTTTAAAAAAATTAACTTTTGTGATTTCTTTTGAATGACATAAGATAGGGCGTTCATATTTGATAAGTGCATTACCTGTGTCAAAATGTTACTGAATATGCTATGATATTTGACCCCGTGAGGTTGACCTTCAAGTTTGAATCGATTTTCAAACATTTCATCAGTGTTGCTTACTTTTGAAGAAGCAAAGATAGGGCATTCATATTTGACTCGTGCATTACCTGTGTCGAGCATTACCAAATGTACTATGATTTTTAATCCCATTACCTTTACCTTGAAGTTTGACCTAATTTTTTAAAAGTTGAGCATTGCTAATAAGTTTTGATTGAGAGAAGACATGGTATTTACATTTAGCATGTGCATTACCTGTTTCAAGACCTTTCCGGTTGTATACTCTGGTTTCTGATATTTTGTTTTACGTGTGCATTACTTGTGACAAAACATTTCGGATTTGATTATGAAATTGGACCTCATGAACTTGATCTTGAAGTTTGATGTAGTTTTAGAAAGCGTAATTTATGTCTTTTTGTATAATGCACATACAAGACAGGACACACAAACAAGACAGTTACATGCTATATACATGTATAATGGCATCCCATCCACTGAGACACCGAAAGCGGGGGACCACAATTCTTTGAATTTGCTTGTTTTCAATTGGATTTCATTTATTTTTATTAAATATAGTTCAACAATCAACATTCATTTAAATGCAAAATTTTGTGCAACAATTCAATACGTTTTTGTTTTTTATTCCTATATGTACTAGACAACATACCGAGATATCAGGCAAAGAAACGTCCTCAAATATTTTACTTCCGATTCCTTTGGTAATTCCAGTTCTTGTTTGAAGGGTCCATTGACTATTGATGACGTAATTGTCAGTGTCCTGGTTGAAGACTTGGAATGTGATGCTCTTTTTCCATTCTCCGTTTTCGTATTTGTGTCTCTCATTGTAGGAAAAACTTCTAAGCTTAATATTACAATTACTAGTTGTCATGCTTCCGCTGCAATGTGATGTGTGATTTGATTTAAAAAACAAATGAATATCCAGGTCGCTAACAGGTTCTGGAACACCATTAATGACGATCGATTCAGAAGCATAGGGTATTGTCATTTCCAATTCCACATTCTTGGAACCTTTTCTTTCTAATTCAATGTTAGGATTGCGCGTCTGAAAGACATTTTACTTCAGGAGGTAATTATTTATAAATCTTACTTTTTAAATAGAAAAGAAATCCATATACACTCGTTAGTGTGCAAGAATATTTTTTTTTCTTTCACACGCAGGATTTTAAGAAGTAAAGGTTAATACCCTTATTCCGGCGAAGAATGGCCTCCCTTCTTTAAATAAGCAAGGGGTGTTATTTTTCATTCGCATTGCACCCACTTTACAGTTAATCTTGCATAAAAATAAAACAAAATATCCATTTAATCAATAGAACTCTTTATAAAGTTTGGAACACAAATTGTGTACTTTAAAATATCAGTAGATATGTCACTAAATGACAGAAAAGCGGTTAGAAGGATACTTGAACTGACCTATTATTGTAACCGAAAACAAAATTGCTTACGTCACAGCCCATTTTCTTGTGAACATTTAAAATGTCGTATGCAGTGAGTTCAGCCGAGTAATTACTGGATACATCGACAACCTGATTAAAAACTTCCTGCTTATCAATAAACCAAGTGACATGATAAAACAAAAACTCTTCAGATTTCAAGCTAAATATGCATGAAAGGGTAACAGCCGGATCGTATCTTGTCACGTGATTAATTTCCCTTTTCCTCCACGTCATAGTCTGATAGGAAACGGATACATCCGATGGCATCCAATCAACACCTGTTCCAATAAAGAAGTTAAGAATATATTTATGGTGTATTGCTTTCCCGAAACAATGTACAATTTTGAACGAATGTGTATGATATCTACAAAACCTGAACGTGTTTTGTTGTTGCACACGAAATTCTGCGAGTATATTTTTTTTCATACGTTTTCCAAACTTAATAAAAATGTTCAAACATTCGATGCAAGCATGCGACACATATTGCTGTGTAATTACAGTAAATGATCGCGCATAATTCTTAAAAATTGACAGAAAGATAAAAAATAATAGGATTAAGGAAAGAAAAGCATCATATCTTTTAATAAAACAAAACATCTAAAAAATGGGAAAAAAATGCTATTTAATCATAATAATCAATAATGATCTCAACATGCTCTTTAATTTCTACGATGTTTGTATCATGAAGTTTATGAAGCGATCCCTATTAAAATCTGCAAGTTATAAGTTAATGATACATTGTGATAGAGGATAGACCCTTCCAGTTGAGCTTGATGAAGGCTCGATTTATTAAATAGTAGAATTAAATATACAAGTAAATATATATAAACTGAAAATACTCACAGCTGTCGTCAACAACTGTCAAAAAAAAAAAAAAGAGAGAGATGATGGGAAAAATAAAACTCAACTCTTGTTCAGATTTTTTTTGGTAAAAAAAAATTGTATTTGAATAACATTTCAATTACAGGAATACAAACCAACGTCACACGTGTCGTTCTTCCAACCTAAAGCACACCCCCCAGTACAAGATCCGTTAAAGCGATCACACAAGTAGGGCGTTATACAGTGACTGCTACATTTCAGTGTACAGTTCTCTCCATACCAACCAGTATTACAGGCTACATAAAATAAAATATTGTATATCTCAGTTCTCAAAAGATATTTTTTGAAATACAAGCTTAATTTCTTAGATATTTATAAACCAGAAATATGGAATCTAAACCTTGGTTGCAATGACTTGTTGTCCAGCCGCTTTGACACCCAAATAGGCAATTCCCCGTCACTTGGTGACAAGTGTCTTTTAAACAGTGCCCACAGTTGTACACACAGTTAGGACCAAATGTTTTTTTCTTACACTCTAAAAACATACCTCTCATATGTTACAAGCTAAGCAGAAAGTGTATTACTATGTCGATCTGGAATGAAGATTGACATTTTTAAAAAAAGTATTAAAGCTTATTAACAAATAACATCATACCCTCCGTACAGCTCTCTCCAGTGTACCCACTCCGACATATACAGGATCCATCAACGGCATTACACTGGTCACATTTTTTAGAACATGGTCTGCATGGATTCCCGTAATGATTACGAAGGCATCCTTGATTTTGAAACAGTTGGCAAGAAGAGGTTAAAATGTTCGCGATCATTATTCTAACACTGAATTTTGAAACAACCTTACCAAATTGTACCCGTTGGGATGCGATGTGCAGAATAAAATTATACGTTCATAAAAACATCATTCAGATTGTGTGCTTTATCAACAAGGATGTAGTTTTAAAGACTGCAAATTCGTTACCGTATGTAGAACAAGCAGTTATTCTTTTTCTACTACAATCACATGTAAACTTTCCCAAATATAGAGATATAGTAATTTAGTAATAGTAATATTATCACCTTACCATTCACTTCTACTTCACATAGGAAAATTGACGTATTTAAAGCTTCTGTCCCGTTGTAAGGAGACAATGTAAACTCCATATCTATATAGCCTAACTGCTTTGGATATGGAATAATTACTTCAGTAGAAACAGCAGATAATTCCTCCATCCCTGAATACCAGTACACGGAAGGCAAGTAAGACCAGTATGGGTATACCGTATATTTGAACCAAATAGTTTCAGGATCTAAAGATATAAATAAAAAATAAATAAATACATAGTATTGACGCGACAATTATTAAGCATATCTTTTCTCAGTCATAGCATAGAGTACTCCCAAAAGTTATTATCCTTTCGCTCAATAAGTTGCTAAGAAGATATACTATGGTAATATGTGAATGTGAGTGCTACTACGTGTATAAACGTGTGCAGGATTTTAGAAAGGACTAGAATTACCACAGCATTACTTGTAATAGGTCAAATTCTATAAATTTTCAAGGTTATTTTAGGTCACCTAAGTCACTCAGGTGACGTATTGCTATCCATTTTTGTATGTCATCGTCCGTCGGTCGTAAACTTTTGAACATTTTCAGCTTCTTCTAATAAACAACTGAGTCAATTTCAATCAATTTTGGCAAATAGCATCTATGGGTGAAGGGGAACAAAAATCGTGAAATTTGTGGTCCCTATTCTCCCCCCCCGGGGGGGGGGGGACTGAGTGGTGGGGCTAAAATATTAATGCAATCTTTAAAAATATTCTTTACTCCTGGACATCATGTGGTCAAAACTGTTGGCATGATTGTATAATTATTGAGCCCTCTACCGAAATTGTGAAATTCATGGCCCCAGGGTCAGAGGTTCTGTTGCTAGGGCGGGGCTATAGTCATATATAGAAAGTACATTATTTTTTGAAAATCTTCTCCTCTGCTCATGGGCATTATTTAAACAAACTAAATACATAGTTATGATGTTCAAGGGTGCCTTCTCCAAAATTGAAATTCACAATTTTGTCTTACCGATTTTGTGCACGCGAGTTCTCGGAAACGGCCTGCTCAATCTGCATGAAACTTTTAGGTCTGATAGAACATTAAAAAATCTAGATACATATTTTTCCCATTTTGATGACGTCACTTCCGGTTCGGAGATTTCCGCGAATTAGTGATTTCTTGCGGGTCAGATTGTCTGCAAGTTTTCTAATAAACCACTTATCACAGAAACCTGAAACTTTCAGCGAAGATAGAGTAACACAGTGTAGATCTGTAGTACGTAGTCCTCTTGCACCGGAAGTGCCAAACATCCACGCTCGCTATTGCCCGAAAAAAAGAAGTCTTATCTCGAATGTTAAATTTTTAACACCTTTACTGCAATATCTTTTTACCTATATTTTGTAAAAACATATAGAACAAAAGGTGTGTAGAATGTTACGATCTTTCAAATGATATCAATAAGGGGCTGGCCCATAACATTAAGAAGCTAGAGGGGCCAAAAAGGTTTTCCCGATATCTCAAAAAGTATTGAGAATTTGTATAGCATCATAGAAGCAAATTTGTTCAAAAAGAAGCGAAGGAATTCATTACAAGTCTTCAAACCGGAAGTAATGGTAAGTGGCTTATTCTTGCACATATGACCGTAGAAGTCTCTCGATCTCTATCTCATCTCCTTGAAATTATGCGGAACACTTATCTGTTGCTTTGCAACAAGCCCGTCCAGTTATTATTATTTTTTTTTGACCAAATTTTGTGTACGCGATTTCTGGAAAACTATTCAATACTTTTCAATCAAACTTTCACAAACAAGAGGCCCATGGGCCACAACGCTCACCTGGGTTACTTTGGCCCTGCTGTTCTTCACCTCCCCTTTGTAATATTTATTGCGGCCCCGCCCTACCCCCAGGGGCCATGAATTGAAGAATTTAGAATCTACACTACCCAAGGATGCTTCTATGTAAGTTTCAGCTTTTCTGGCCCAGTGGTTCATGAGAAGAAGATTTTCAAAGATTTTGCCTATGTATTTCAATGTAAAACTTTGATTCCCTATTGTGGCCCCGCCCTACCCCCGGGGGTCATGATTTGAACAATTTAGAATCTACACTACCCAAGGATGCTTCCACATTAGTTTCAGCTTTTCCGGCCCAGTGGTTCTTGAGAAGAAGATTTTCAAAGATTTTGCCTATATATTTCAATGTAAAATTTTGATTCCCTATTGTGGCCCCGTCCTACACCCGGGGGCTACGATTTGAACAATTTAGAATCTACACTACACAAAGATGCTTCCACGTAAGTTTCAGCTTTTCTGGCCCAGTAGTCCTTGAGAAGAAGATTTTCAAAGATTTTGCCTATATATTTCAATGTAAAACTTTGATTCCCTATTGTGGCCCCGCCCTAGCCCCGGGCGTCATGATTTCAACAATTTAGAATCTACACTACCCAAGGATGCTTCCACATAAGTTTAAGCTTTTCTGGCCCTGGTGTTCTTGAGAAGAAGATTTTTTAATGACCCCACCCAATTTTTGTCTTTTCTTGATTATCTCCCCTTGTAAGGGGTATTGGCCCTTCATTTTAACAATTTAAACTCCCCTTCACCCAAGGATGCTCTGTAACAACTTTGGTTAACATGGGCTCAGTGGTTCTTGAGAAGAAGTTGAAAATGTGAAAAGTTTACAGACGGACGGACAGACAGACGGACGGACGCCGGACAACAGTTGATCAGAAAAGCTCACTTGAGCTTTCAGCTCAGGTGAGCTAAAAATGAGTCACCATATGAACTTTTTTCATCACAAGGGAAATTTGGAAAATTCGCTTCCGCTTCCAAATTATGGACAATTTCCTGATTTTTAATTAGAATTTTGTCCGCGGTATAGCTAAAGAACGAATAAAGGTATGAACTGGAGACTTTTTAGAGATTATAAAACATGACGTTTAAATTCCCAGAAGTATATTTTCGTGCAACGTCAATACGTCCGCTCGCTACTGGAAACGAATGAAAAAAGTTCAATTTTTCAACTCTTCTGTTTCTCAATATTTTTTAATGAAAGTTACAGGAATAATAGAGATTATTTTCAACATGCTTAATGTATAATTTATTTGAAAGTTGATAAATCCAAACTCGAAATATTCGTCTGATTTCAACACTGAATTGAAATGCTCTTAAAAAGGAGAGATTCAATCCACTGTTTTCACAGACGTCCGCATCGAATTAATTGCGGACGTCCGAGAAAACATTAAATTGAATGGAATGTTTTCTCAGACGTCCACAGTGAGTTTATTGCGGACGTTTTGGTAAACTTTGGATTGAAGTTTTTCTTTGCAGTTAAATTTAAATCCACCTTGGCTATTCTCTTAGGCAAAGTGTTAATGCTTCATTAAAATGATAAAAAAAATATTTTAGTTTCAGTATAACATAAAATTAATACAAATAAGACTTTTCTATCCGATTTCTAAAAATAAATTCATGGCTTTCATAGGGGTAACCTGACAAATTAATGACAAGGGAGCTGGTATTTTTGGAAATGAATAACTCGTCTATGAAAATATAAATACTCTATCCTCCAAAAGGAATCTGACATTGAATCATAGGCCTTCAGTCATCTGTAAGGAATTTTAACTCTTTGCTAGCAAAGATGAAAAATCGAGTTCATGAATATCGGCAGTCCCCCTCCTCCTTGTTTTGTTAAAACGATATAATATGTTTTTGGTCATCTCAGAACGAAAATAATCTGCCTGCAAAGACATTAAAAGAAAAATATCTTCGTCAATATTCACAAGCCAACGCCCCTTTTCTGGAAAAATGGTTATTGCCAAAAGACATTAACTATATCTATAATTACATTTGCGTCTATTAAAAACATTAGATAGAAAATTCTGACATAACCTGTCTTATCATTTACATTGTGGGTATGGGAATAGCTTTGTTGGACTTAAATGAACTTTGAACAATAATTTTGATCCAATGTTTTCTCAAACGTCTGCAATGAATTCTACCTACTTATTTCGCTATGATATTTTCCTTAATAAGTATTTCTTTAAAGTGCGTTTTCCTGTGTCTGTCACTATAACGAGCATATAAATATGTTTACTTGCATACAATAATACAAAGATGGAGAATAGGACGAAAGACCTGTCGTTGCTCCCAACGAGTTTCTAGTTCTGTTAAATAATCCTATCTGCTCCTTAGTGTTGAGCAGATAAACAAAGTGCATAGTTATGATGAAGAATGGTACTTCCTACAAAATTTTTAAAACTTGTGGCCCCAGGGTAAGGGGTTTTGGTGCTTCTTGAGAGGGGGGAGGGGTATATTGATAATATAGTGAAATTGTGTTAATTCTTTGAAAATCTTCAACTGAGTGCATAGTTACTATTACGAAGGTACCTCTTCCAGATTTGTGAATTTCATGACCTTGGGTCATGGATTTGGGTGTTAGGGTAGGGCTGTGTTGAATCTGTATTGAAAATGCATTACTTCTTTGAAAATCTTTTCCGCTCCTTGGCAAATCAAAGGCAAACAGAGTAGAGGTTTTAAAAAGCAAGGGTATTTTTACCAGAGTTTTGAACATCAGGACCATTTGGTCAAGTGTTCTGGTCCTGGCCAGGGCTCTATTAATTTGTATTCTACTGAGAGAAGTTATTCCTCTTTGTCATTCACTTTTGATAATTAATCACTGTAAATAATGTATTTGACAAGTTCATAGAATAAAAGAATTATGCAAAAAAATTGTATAATACGAAAAGTACTTTCATAGTTTTAATGATCATGTTGACTTGATAATAATAAATTTAATAAAAATGAGACAAAAGTAACTTATCTTATAAAATATTCTTCAAAGATCAAGAGAAGCTAATGTGAGAGGTCACAATATGGAGTTAAAAATAGAACAGAAGAACTAATAGTTATAGTTTGTTAATAGTCTGCATGGCGATAGTGATAAATTGGGGATAGATTAAAACTTAATTTATGAGTTGTAACTGAATACTAGACTAATTATTCCATTGATCCTGATCATCATATTTCTCTTGCTTTTGGGCAACAAATCTTCATCTCTCAGTTTGTTTTATACTCTTGTGGATCCTCTTAATTGTTGTATTATACTCAGGTGACCGTTCAGGCCCTTGGGCTTCTTGTTTAGGATTTCGGTAGTTAGGACTCGAATATGTGCAATTTAACAATACTGAATGATAAAGGAAAGATTTTCGAGTGTACTGATGTGTATATATTGACAATGTTCAAGTCAAATGTTCTTGTGAAATGGTATGCAAACTTTCTCCGGGTGCATTGCTTTGTTGTTTTAAAATAAGTTGGAGGCGTTGATAAGTAACTATTGAACGTAGCAAGAGAAAGCGACCTTTGTATAGTCAAGATGATGCAACATGCAGCATTTCTCAGGATATCCCGGTGTCACAACAATTCGAATTTGATGTGCTATAGCCTGCTCATCATGAGTACTTTCACCTATTATTTTTCGACAGTTAATAAAAAGTAAATAGATTTTGATTTTTCTTTTTAAAGATCATATCATCAAACATTGATGTTTTATCATTTCTTAACCCTTTTATCATTTCTAAACCCTTCTATATCTAGTTTTATGATTTGTGAAAAAATGTTTGTTTTGTAGTAAGTGCCCTTAAATTAGAATAATAATTTCAAATATCTACACGTGACACCCTTTGTAGGAATCGATGACACTTGCAGGTCGGTGGAACCTTGCTTTTACGTTTACGTACGTCACCCAAAACCTGCCTTTAGTATTCACACCTGAGTAATTATATGAACCCCTCCCCACCCCCGTTGTTTTGTAGAAATAGCACTTGTATAGCATAGCTTACGATGTCGCAAGTCTGCATTTTAATTAATTCTCCTTTCACCAACAAGACAGGAGGATTTGAATTGCGTAATATAACTGAAAACTTATATTTGTCTGCCTTTTAGATGCATACGCAAAAATACAGACCTAGTCTTTTTAACTGATGCACATGTATAGGAAGTCGTAAATCAAGAAATATCTCTCACCATCTTTAATAAAGTGGAACTGCACTCCTTTAATGTTGTAAATTCTCAGAAGATTGACCCGTAACTTATAAATTTCTCCAGCACTGAGTACATTAAAGGCAATACAGCTTGGCCGTTTCGTATATCCATCGACAAGAAGATAAGAAGGAAGATAAGCATCAAATCCTTCAAAGTTCCAACGAAGGATTGCCTCTTTCTGTAGTGCTACATTTTCAGTTCCTAATAAAATAATTTACATTCATTATGCTTAATAAAATCTTTCCTGAGAATACCTTATTTATCGGATGTCTAGTTTAATAAACGTTTCAATAGAAATGTTTGGCATCTTAGTTTAGCAAGCCTTTTTGTGTCTATAAAATCTCAAAAAGTCATTGAATTGCTTCTCTTTATTTTTTCTCAAATTTTATTTGATTTTTCATTAACTTCAGAGGATATAGTTTTCATTTCAGTAAGTTCACATTGTAAATTTAATGTGCAATTAAAGAATTGTATGTTAAATAAAACACAACGGTAAATAAATATTGAGGGTACACAACGGTAGATAAATATTAAGTACTTAGAGTAAAATATATTTTCATTTAACACCAAGGTGTATTTTTATTAAAAAAATTTAATTTAAACATCTTTAAATCTGCTGGGGTTTTTTTCAAACATGCCGTGTTTTACATTATATTTTCTTCACGGAGATTGAATCCTGTACAGGATATCTAGATCTATTTTGATTATAAGACTACAACCGGTTTACGAATGAGACTTTTCTATGTTAATAATTTTTAAGTATGCAACTTTAAGTAATTAGAAATACTTCTGCTACACGTTGGTCCAGTGAAGGTTTCTTTGCAAATGTAGCACGTCCCATCATTTACATCACAAACTTCACAGTTATCGTTCTTAATACATGGCTGACAGCTGCTACCGAAATGGTCTGTTTCACAACCTACAGGTATAAAAAGGAACGATGTGGCAGCTACATGTACCTTATGATCATAAGAGTAGAAAACTAGATAACATTGAGATGATGGCCATCTCAAAGAGCCCCGCTTTCAGCAACAAACATGAAAATGTAAGGTAGCTGAAAAGGGTTTATTTTGAAGAGGAACATTTATGTACTATTAAGAGATGTGTTGTTTGAGTCTAAAGGGCTTCTATGTCATCCTTGTTATAATAAAAAATGGCACGAAAATCACGAGTGCTCCATACCCTCTATCAAAACACAGCACAAAAATCACGAATGTTGCATATCTTCTATGAAAATTGTTGCATACCCTCTATCAATATATGAAAGGAAAATCACAAATGTTCCGTACCCTAAGTCAATTGGTAAAGTTTAAGGCTGACTGGACTTAAGGGAAAGAAATTATGCACCGCACAAAGATTTTAAACAGAGAGGCTATTTTTGACCTTGACCCTTAACACAGAAACTCCGTTCACTACATATCCATTGACACTCTGTGAGTGAAGTATGAACCACATTGGACCAATAGGAGAGAAGGTATGCTGCAGACAAGGATTTTTCATATAATTCTGCTATGATCTTAACCTGAGACTTAGAAACATGGTTCAAGGTCACTGCATACCCTTTACAGAAAGACACTCTGTGGGTGAAGTATGAGCCAGTAAGGGTCAAGGAGAGAGAAAATATGCTCCGGACATGAATTTAAACAGAGAGGCTATTTTTGACCTTCACCTAGAAACTTTGTTCAAGGTCACTGGACATCCATTGACCAATGGCACTCTGTGAGTGAAGTATAAGCCACATTGAATGAAGAGGAGAGAAGATATGCTGCGGACAAGGATTTTTTTTTATATAATTCTGCTATGACCTTAACCTTAGACCTAGAAACATGCTTCAAGATCACTGCACACCCTTTACCCAAAGACACTCTGTGGGTGAAGTATGAGCCAGATTGGGCCAAGGAGAGAGAAGATATGCTCCGGACAAGAGATCTCGGAAGGACAGATGGACGGACGGACAGACTGATCACTATAGGGCGCCCGCAGAGCGGGGTCCTAATAAAATGGACAAGAATCTGTTATGTAAAAAAATATTAAGAATTTATTCCAAGTTTTTCTTGAACTCACCGTGTACCTCTATTTCACACAACTCAAAGACTAATGACGAATTCCAGTCGACTTCTATATCAAATGAAATCTTTGATCCAATGCGTTGAACATCGAACTCTACGAGATGTGGAAGTTCCTTTGAATATGTCCTTAAGATTTCAAAAGGCCAATTGTTAAGCGGGTCGAAATATTCAATACTTGCTTTATCTGTAGAAATTTTTCCTGGACAAATAAAAATTATACTTTTTAAAAGTTTAATAAAATTTATGCGAAATCTAATTTACTTCTTTTAGTTCAACAAAACAACGATTATATAAAAAAAAATTGTTTAAAAGTTTAATCATAGTCACATAAATGTCAACAGGAGAAAAAATTACGACATTAACGTTATGTACCACACATGTATTAATTCTGTCGATTATTGTATCAATGTTGTACCTTTGAATATAATCCGTAATGATTTAATGTTGTATTTCTCTCCAAGTCCTATCCGGAAGTTGAACATATGTCCATTAAATTTTTGACAAGTGTCACTTTCTATTCCGTCTGTGAAAGCTTTCGTATTTTCGTAAACGCTGTTGTTTACACTGAAGAAAACTGGTGTAGAACGTGCTATATTGTCTTTGAATAAAAAAAAGGGTTATCAGTTTTGGTGTACTCAGTGTCAAAATCTCTTCGAATTAGTAAAAAAGGCTTTTTTTATTGATTAACAATTACTAAGCATATTAAATTTATTCAAAATTATACATAGAACTTCATTAAGCACACGTTGAACAGCTTAGAAAAATGATTGAAAGAATATGAAAAGTAGTGTGACGATCGGTCACGGTAGCCTAGTGGACTTTTGCGAGAAGCACCGACTTTTACAGTCGAAGGCTTACTTTTTACACTAGGATAGAAGCTCTTTTGCAATATAAATATTTAGATTACAAGTTGATTAAAAAGGTTATCATGGTCCATTACAAATCATATATTAAGTTTTTAGGAAGGGAACGGCAACTTCCCTATCCACATCCACCTCCCTTCCAACCATCACCAATTCCTGCCAAATTTTCCTTCTGGAATGTTTTTTCTTACTCATTTAAATCTTACAGAGAATGAGATTAAAAGTGGATACTATTCCTCACGGATTAAGTATTTTAAGTTATGTTATTCTGCCTCCCATCATCTCTTGTGTTGAGTGTATACCGGTAAATCATGTAAGCTCTCCTAATACCATACAACTAACCACTTAATTATTTTTCAGTATCTATATCAATTCCGTACCTCCGTACATAAGGCAGGTTTAAATGCCAAAGTAAGCAGTCAACTGTAAAAGTCAGCGCTTCTCGCAAAAGTTTGCTTTGTAATTTGGAGGCCGGGGTTTGATTCACGTTCGCCTCGCCGTGTCAAACCTAAAACGTAAACATAAGTAGTGACTATTCCTTCGCCAGTCGCATGTATGACGCAGTTGCTAAAGCTCTAGAGTCGCGGTGTAAGGATTGATCCATACGTCGCGGGTTCGAATCCCACTGCGGGACGTGGAGACCGGTCCTTCGGATGAGACCGTACAAACGAGAAAGACCTGAATGCCGAGTAAAGGTCAAAATATGCAGTCCTCCACCGGCAAGTGGTGGCGTCTCCATATGAATCAAAAATTCTCGAGAGAGACGTTAAACAACAAACATATTCCTTCGCCAAGCGCCCGGCACTAGAAGTGAAAGCCACGTGTCTTTTGGATGAGACCTTAGAAACCGTGGTCCTGTGTGAAGATAGGCGAAAAATCAATGGCCTATGTGCCGAGTATAAGTCTAAATTTGAAGCCCTTAACTGGTATATGGTGACGTCTCTAAATGAGTATAAAATCCTCGAATGAGACGTTAAACGACAATCAATCGATCAATCAGTAATATTGCCATGTTTACTAAAAATAAAAATTTCGGACAAATTCCTTCAAAATGCCACTCCTACAGTTTTGGTCTCGTTTCAATATAACTTGGCACACGAGTAGAATACACTAAGATACATAATTCTGTTCATCGTTTTTTTTATTATTATTTTGATGAACGGTCTTTCCATGGTTATTAAAATAGAAAATTTGGTGGAATTCTTTCAAAACGGTACTCCTCTTACAGTTTTAGTCTTATTGCAATAAATCTTGTCACAAAGAGACTAAACAAAATGACCACTATTATATTTATTGCTGCTGCATCGTTTCATTTGCAAGTACTACTTTTCTCCTCCTTGTTGTAAGTACAAGCAAATCAGTAGAGTTACAGTCTCATCAGAGACGTATGCTTTTTTTCTCGGGTTGCAAAATAAAGACCATAGCTTAAGAAACTTTGGTGACAATCAAGGTCCATGGGCCTCTTAAGGTCAGCAAATTATCAGTCTATAAATATAATCAAAAAATCGTTACTTGATTAATAAAAGCTAATTTGACAGATTTATTCACAAGTTGTAGAATTGGTTTCTTCCGTATGAAAGCTACTAATGTTAAAAAATATTTGTCTTATCAGAACCAGCTTTTTTTAAGTTAAAGATTTCCGACGCTTGATTTTCCTGAATAATAATGAAAATCTGGATATTTATGTCAGAAGTTATATCAAGAAAATTTTTCGACAAAAAACCAATAATTTCATAGCCAAAATAATTATTTATACTCTACTTTTATTGTGTTATATTTTGAAATTACGTTTAAGTTAAAAGCTTTTAAAAAGGCATATATATGATAATCAGGAGGCAAGCATCGTATGGAATGTGTTTATGAAACACTTATAAAGGACAAAATAGACATAGGCCCCTTTTGGTTCCTGATTTAGGGTGTCTTTCAAACGATGCAAAAGTTCATCTCTGAAGAACTATTATCATCCCTGTTACAAAATGAGTATTGTTTCTAATGAATTATGGAGATAACGAAAAGTATTCAAGCTCAAAGGTCATTAAAACAATACAGATTAGGAACAGAGCAAACACGGACCTCCAAAAACATCAGAGGTGGGATCAGGTGCCATGGAGGGGTGAGCATCCCCTGCCGACCGGTCACACCCGCCGTGTGCTTCAGGTGATGATCGGGAAATAACGGAAAAATCCGTCGACAATTCAGTGTGTAAATAATGGCTTAACAATTAGTATGAAAAACGTCAGTCAGCATTTGACTTATAATAAACTGTATTTGCTGACAAGGTCATTGTATCGACCATAGAACTTAAGAAATGAGGACTTTAAACGAGACTGTTCATATTTTTGTTTCATCAACTTGTCAATAACGTACCTCGTTTTAGAAATGGTTCATACGTAGAGCATGCTCTTGCGTATAGAATCAATTGAGAGATATACACCCCACATGCAGGTGATAAGGGTATATTGCGGCAAAAGTAGGGGAAGTTGACGATTGAAAGGTTAGTCATCACGTTTATCATAAAGCTTTGTTTTTAGATTACCAGTAATGCGTTTTTCTAGTAAACTGTCCAAATATGAAATAGATGTGTCAAGCTCTGTGGTATCTTTTTTTTCAAGCTCACTGGGATATATTGTGTCGACATATGAATGGAAATAACTATTGTTAATAGATAATACGTCGTCGATATATCAAAATGTCCGAGTTGAAGGCCACAGCAAGGGATTTCTTTTTCTCATGTTTAAGATTTTGAATAAATTCTGCTTCATATGAATACAAAAATAGGTCTGCTAACAGCGGGCCGCAATTGGTACATGTACCCATGGGAATTCAAATAGATTGATGGAAGACATGGTCTCCCAAAACCACAGATATTGTCAATCAGAAACTCAAGCATCTTTTTAATATCAACTTGAGAGTACTTATTTTTG